TTTTTTTTTTTTAAAGATTGACTAACGTTAATTACTGCGAGAGAACCCCGTTTTAAGACAAGTTCTCCTCCTCTGGAGAAACTGTTCGGGTTTTGTTTTTTTCTGCCGGAAAGTCAGAAAGTTCTGGTGATTTTTTTTTTTTTATCGTTGCTTTTTCCACTTCAGGGTTTTACCGTTTTTTTTTTTTTAAACGAATATGTTTCTCTTACTCACCCGTCCATTGCACAACACAGAACTGCAGGTCAGAGCAGCGAGACGACAGGCTAGGCGAGCTATCTTATAGTCCTACAAAATGGCGGAGAACACCAAGACGCGCTCTGATTAGCCCAGCGACAGGGGAAAACTGAAGTAGGGAGGGTCCTAAATGCGAAGTCACGAACCCTATTGGGTGGGAGCGAGGTCACTCGCTAAGGCGGGATAAAAAAGTTGAATACAGCTTTCTATTGGTGATTTGGGAAGCCAATCAAGCACTTAGCCGTCCCCCTCTGAGTATCTGATTGGTGAACGTTCCCGTCCATCGAGGTCGAAGCGAAGACGACATTGGAGGGGTGCGATCAAAGTTAAGAGAAAAAAAGTGAGGGAGTGAGGTCGTAAAGTGAAAGTGGACGCGTGTAACTGACTCACGATTTGCGAGAGAAAAATGTTTTGCTGTAAAGCAGCGCGGTGTTGCTCAATAGTTTCTTCTGACTTGTTTTACGCGTTGTTTCCGAAGGAGTGAAGACGAGAGCAACAAGTGGCAACAAGCAGTCCTTTTTTGAAGAAGTAGCAGTTTTTTCACAACACGTAGTAATTCAGGGTACATCATTTTAAACGTATCGTCTTTTAACAAATTAACTCCAAAAATATTAATTTAGACATTATTTATGAAACCTCGTAGGATCTACCACCAAACAGAAATAAAAAAAAGTCTAGTGACAAATATACGTAAAATTTCGTTCGTGAAGTTTCTGATGCTCTTTAGAAGTCAAATTATTTACTTGACCCTAATGTTGTAGATCACTGTTGCTCACATAGCACTAACACCTTCAAGGTAATGGTCAGTAAGAGTCGAGGTTGCCTCTTCCAACGCCCCAGTTTCGCGCTGTTGTCTTCAGACAAAGGGCCATCATTCAAGGTGTGGCACCAAAGTCACCTTTGTTTGCATTGCGTTGATGAATGCAATTCAGGATTAGGGAACAGATAGCGATCTCACAGGAGGGGGTCTGTATTCATGAACTTTAGATGGATGTTGTGCTGGGCTGGCAAAGATCTAATAATTTACAAGACCAAAGAGCACAATTCCCAGTGCATTCATGTATTATGGATTCACCCGGCTGATAATTTTATCCGACATTTGTACCCACCGAGATGCTTTACCAAAGGCAATCTGAGTGAAGTGGTTTGCTCAAGGGTACAATAGCAGCCCCCCACCCAGGACTCTCGGACCCAGGACCTTCTAGTTACAAACCCTGAGCTATGACCAGCTCTCCAAACTCCTGCCGTAACTTCACTCACTCATATTGCCCAGATGACTTTTATGGTCCAGTCACGGGTAACCCAATCAGATTTCATTGGCTTAAAATGTAATACTTTAAAAACACAGTGCCGCTGAAATGTTCATGTCTTGGTGAATGCACGTTGCCAGGGAACATTGATTGCACAATGGAGGCAACCTACTAAGGGAAAGAGGTCCTCATTCACCTAGTGAGAGAGGGCACATAAGGCTCAGCTCTTTAACAGGATGATCGCGGAAGGCTAGAATACACCGTGAACCAAGGCTCGCAGGGAGGTGACCGGTCATAGCGATAGCTGACAGCTCCCTTCTTGGGTTTAATATCACGTTCTGCTTGAGTTTCCCCTCTGCGGCCTCATAGTGCAGTCATCAACATTTCCCGCATTCGTCACTTGAAGAAAGTAACACTTTTGTTTATAAAACAAGCTAGCGAAATGCCGTATTCCGGGGCAGCGGAGGGAAATATTTGGATAGGCTGACCCCCAGGGCTAAACCAGTAAAGCCTGGCAGCAGACAGCCGCCGGAATCCCTCCAGCAGGTTTGGGTGGGATGTTTCCCCCCTCGGTTTCCCACCAGCCAGATGGTTTAGAGAGGTGCATCGCTGACTCCAAAGGCCCAGGCACGCAAGCAGACGGTGAAAGCTGATAGTGTCTCTTTGCTCACTAAATAATTCATAAGGAAAAATAAAACCATCTTCAGACCACGAGGACATTCCTATCTCCCCTTCATACCTGTTTCATAACATTTCCCTCCACATGGCAAGAGTTTAATAAAACCCATTAGTTTGAGTAAAAACTTAACTTAATAGCTTTAATATGTCTGTTAGCTATAGTTTCTAATAGAAATTTCAACATAGCACTGATTATTGGATATGCCTAGAACTTGAATAATTACAGTTCAACTTAGATGTGATATTAGTTTAGCAATATAAAAAACTCACAGATTTGTAGCTGTAGCCTGTGCAAACCGATTCCTGTTAACTGGAGATAAACATAGGGCCATGGACATGAAGGAGTTCCTGAATCCTGTTTTTGCCTTGCGCCCACTGCTTGCCGGGACAAGCTCTGCCCCCTTCACGGCTCTGAATTGGATGAAGCACTTAGAAAGTGCATGGATGGGTGTCTCTAAACAACTCTATTTACACTACAAAAAGTATACAGTTCTACAGAAAAACAGAGTGCATAAACAAACAGGTCCAGATAAGAAAGAAATGTTTGAGGAATTGCCACTGCATTGTTATACTGTAAGTAAAACCTGCAAAAGTCTTCCCAGATTGTTAGACGCATTGCTGTGCCACCTTTGATATCACAAGACACGGTGTAAAATTATCCAAGGTTCTTTGAGGAAGCTGGGATTAAATTTGAACCCACTGGGATCAGTCAATGGTTTCACATTTGGTTCGCAAGTCGCACTGAAATGTAAAGCGTCATTAAATAGCAGTAATGCATCAGAGAGTTTTAATGAGCATCACTGCAAAAAGACTGAGAAAGCACAATTACATGCAGTGAGGCGTTAGAAGATCTGGAAGGTCTTTTTCAGCATTAATGTCCAATCAACATTGACACACTTTCATAAGCACAGTCCATATAGTGGGGTATTTTTTTTCCAATTGGATTTCAACCTCTGTGACTTCAAAGACTTTGTTCCGCCTTTGATGTTAGAAAATAGTAGATCTGAATACTTCAGAGCCCAACAGGGTTATAATGGAGAGGAGAAAGACAGAGAGACAGATTGAGGGGGAACAGGACACAGTATAAATACCAGGGAGGGCATTCTCAGAAAAAAACAAACACATCTTATACAAGCAAGCCTGAATGCTGTCAGGAGTTCAAGGATACTTTCATGTTTGCATTTACCAGGTGCTCAATTTATTTGATTATCTTCTTGCCTTGTTCTTCCTAATTCTCTCGGCTGTTCCTCCTGTTTTTGAATTGATAAATTTCACTTTGCCTGTATTGACTGTTCCAGTAAAAATAAAAAATAACTGCAGGGCTTTTTTTACCATGAAACGGACAAGGGAAGAATATGACCATTGTGTCTTTCTCTCTGTAAGACGTTTTGCTTTTTCAGATGCTATTTCTACTAGTTCAACCCCTGACATGTCCTGTCTGAAACTGGTTGGGCTACATATTTTAGTCAGGAAGGTATTTGAAAGTCTAAGCAATAGGAATAGAAGAATTTCACAGACACCATAGTAGATTAGCTACAATGGTCACCAAACAAGTTAGATTGGCCGAATGCTCATTAAATTTATGTTACTAAGAATTTTAATAAGAACTTGCAGAGACATTCAGCTGATATAACACCTGTACAAAACATTAAACAGGTCCTTATATTCCAGGATCTCACTGACTTGTGCAAGGCAGGCTTATGTACGTAAATGCTATAAATACTCATAGAAATCATAAATTCTCTCACACAAAAGTATCCACAGAAGATGCTATAAACTACCATCAAATGTTGATCAAAAATCCCTACAAGCTTTTTACCTAGCAAAAGTTATCAGAGAAGACTTCAAACCACAACTCATGTCAGTATCTTTGATTGCCTACTCTAGAAACAACACACCCTGAGAACCACAACTCCCAGCACCACCACGATATGATTAATTGACTTTAGAAGAGGTGATAGAAGGGAAATGCAGGGGAATTCAAAACCTTTAAATGTCTGATTTCTTATTTTAACTCATGTGTTTTTTTTGCAGGATGTCTGGTTAACCAAAGCAACTGCTGATTAGTTGTTTATTGCTTTTATCAGATAGCCCTGAGAAGATCTTACAGTCTCTCTTAAAGGCACCACTCCCATTAATTGCTGTGTTTCTGGAGACTTACTCTTTATGCCTGGCGTAACACTGCAAGAGCTTCATCGAAGAGCAAGACAGAATATAGTGACACTTGTTTCCCCCACAGGCCGGTTTGAAAAGCCTTTTGTTTTTTTGGAGTGATTATTTTGGCAGGTGACAAGTCCCCCAGCACACTGGGAACAGTAGAGAATCATGCAGCACAGACAGCACACATTACAAGAAAAAACAAGACAACGGAAAGTTTAAAATTCAGTAGATCCAAAATCAGGGGTCAGGGGATCCCTGGAAATCTCTTGGAAAATTCCAGAGGGACCCAGCAAAAGCCTAGTCATATTTCACCCCACGTTAAGCAGAACAACACCAAATCAACCTTCTCACTCAATGATCATCTTTGCTGTCACTAATTTGCTGTGCCTTAAGTGATCCACAGTTAAAGGTGGTGCTTATAATATTAGCTGATTGATGTATTTTTAATTAGGTTTACATTAGATGAAGCTGAAGATCCCAGTGGAAAGTCAGAGGCTTCCTATAGGAATTCCCATTCCTTTAAAAATCTCTCTTATTGCACATAGGTGTTAATGTAAAGCTTGAACCTGGACAAAACAAGAGCAACATGCAGGCACAGATGTAGTAGGACACAGGCCTAAAATTGATTTTACAAACACATGACCGTTTGAGCAAAGGGAACCAAAACTACAACAGCAAGCATGTTTTTAAGTAGACTTTTTCACTTCAGTGACACGAGAGACCGATTAAAGCAGAAGTGGAATTTGGAGAAATGAATGGATGATTGTGATCTGCCTGGGCGTTATTTTCCACATGGTCAGACTTACCTGCATTGAATGGGAACCTTCTTCCTGTTAAAAGCCACTTAATGTAGAGGGAGGGTTTTGGTCAATAAGCATACAGAAAATATGCTTCAAGTATTCAAAACTCAGTTGGCGTTCCTTGACCCATTGGGATTCAGGTGATGGTCTGGAATGGACAGTCTTGTTTTCATCTTGAGGCTTTACCCTAAGGCATCGATATGTGTTGCACAATTGTGAATCTCTGGATTGTTTATTGGAGTTTGTGATGGTTTAAATAATCTAATGAAGGATAATAGTAGTCAATTCTAAACCGCCGGTGAATTGTGATCCCATGTTTAAATAGACATCTGTTGTGGTTGGGGTGTGCTTGTTAGGATTTCAGGCTTTGCATACTAATACACAGTATAACCATTATATATTCACAACACTAAGTGCAACTACTACAGTTATTTGATATGCTTTAGATCTGCGTCCCTACATTTCATTGGGATACTAAACACAGCTCCAGCTGTTAATCTTGCTTTCTGTTTGTTGTACAATGTTTGTTCTGCCTATTACTGAAAGAGTTAAGAGACCTGTTGAAATGTTCCTCTGATAACTGTGGCTTCTGGCTTTTTTCATCCATTTCACAAGCTAACTGAAGAAGCTACTCCTGATTACCAGTCCCTAATAGCCTTTCTTATAAGAAGCTGCGGTATTAGGTGACACCATCAATAATTACCACGCAGGCTCCCTTTCAAGGAAATTGCTTTTCAGAGTTGGCTGCAGGTGACACACCTGCCCAGAGATAAATTATTGAATAGAACCTGGGAGAGGAGACTGAAGGCCATTGTCTCCATAGCAGCGATTATTCAACAAGGAGTCAGGTAACAGCTCTGTAAAAACCAGAACCGGATCTGTTTCTCAAATGCAACGAAGAAAAAAAAACACAAAAAAAGTCTTAGTTTGGATTAACCGCCTGTTTTTTCCTCCTGAAGGTCTAGATGTTCTTCATAAAAATGAATATTAATTCTAAGAAATAATTTATTTGCATTTATTTTGTGCATTTCACCCCATGGGGGCAGGGGAGTGGCAGTTCATCCACTGCAGCGCAGCCCCACCTGGATGAGTCACCAGCAGCAGCCCCACTGCACAGCAGGTCAGGCGAAGAAGTGAGGACCTGCTTCACCCCTTGAATTAAGGGGGGACTTTAGGGAGGCCAGACTGTATAAACTCAGCCTGCTCTTCATTAACAGTTTTTTGATAACATAATAGTTGACACCTGAGTTTAACATCCCTTCTGAAGGATGGCACCTCTCAGCACCTTGGGGTGTCTCTGGTCTCTATCCTGGGACGTTGATTGGGAAATTCCAGAAGGGTGTTAACTGTCAGTAGCCCAGATTATCCCATTTATACACGTTTCCTACATGTCCAGCTAATCAGGACCAGCTCTTTCAGCATGTACTTCACTTCTTAGTGATGCCCATTGTTCAAGAAACAAAACAAGTAACAGTAGCAAATGGGAAAAATGTTCATCTTTAGTTCATCTTGCTCACTTGGATGTTAGCAGATCAGTGATCCAAGGATCTGTCCAGCTGTTTCTTGAAGGTTCCCAGGGGAACTAAATTCTGTTTCTGACTCCCACAATCATTTGCATAAATAACTGCTTCCTGGTCTCATTCGTGAATGCACTCCTGTTTAATTTCCGCCTGTGTCCTCCGACCCCTGTTTTCCTAATGTTGGCCCTGACGTCTTCCTCTGGGTCAATACCTTTCAGGATTTTACATACTGGTATGACGACCCCTAACAGTCTCTTTTATTCAACAATAAAGTTCCTGTCTATCTTAAAATACCTAAAGACATTCCTCTATAGCTGTGGTTTGTAACCTGGGGTGTGAGACGCCCTTCCTACGCTTGTGATACATTTCAGACACAGGCATGTAAGGACAACAACTTTGTTTCAACAAACCCGGGTAGTATAAGGTAAACTTAAAAAAGTGGGTATTCTTAATTTCACTGTAAACTTAAAATAAATATAGAATTCTAAAAAGTGTTATTTTCATGTATTCTTAACTTTGTTTGCGTGTACTCCACTTCGTGCTTGGTCTTGGCTATTTCTGTATGTATGATTAATTCTGTATATATTATATATTTCTAATATGTCTGTATTGAGGTTGCTCATTTTTATAAAGCAGAAGATAAAAATAAAAATGAATACATAATTATGTTATGGAAACAAAATCTTCAGTGTTTCTGTTTGGTAAAATTTGTTCGATTAATGCGAAACTCTGTTCTTTATATGCATCAGAAAATTCTTTGAAACATATCAGAGTCAAGGAGCTTTGCATGGTTTTGGCCTAATCTCAGTTTACTTCCTCAAAGTCGCACACTTTTGCAATCCTGTTGGGCTTCTGCTTGCTTGTCTCCCCATCTGAGTTGGAGCTCTGCACCGTGTAGTTTGTTGGGGAGGCAAATAAGTTGGGTGCAATGCTCGGAAAGGTCACTGTTGAAGTACGTTATACGGACTCAGTGCTGTGCATCCCACAAAATGTCCCCCACCCACCTCATTGCTGTGATGAAACCTGTTTCCTAGAAGGTTTAGTGACTGCTCACTCACAACCAAAACAGAAGGAAACTGCAGTGCAGAAATGCTGAGAACACAGAGAGTACAATTAGCAAATTGCAACGGCTAAACTGGAGACAGGAGTGCTAAGTGAAGACTTCCATGAGCCCAAAGGCTGAGTCTTCTGCATTCCCTGACATCTGCAGATAGTTAGCTATTTAGCATATTTGTTGTATGATGCCGCTGAAAAGAACCTTGATTTATAATTCATCAAGCTAATCCGGTGTTTTCTTTTTTTGTAAAGCTATAAGTGTCCATATAAACTGTAAAGTTAAGAGGAAAACGTTTTATATACACAGCATGCATAATTGAAACCATACGCACTGTGACCTAATGTATTTTAGAATGTCACGTTATATGTTAAAACCGTACGTTTTCACAAGTGTGGTTAACAACGAATTTGTTAAATCTTTCATGAATATAGGCCGCTGTTGGGAAAAAAATGACTTTGGTGACCTGGAGCATACGCAACCTAGGAGACTTAAAAACCAAGCACACAGCCGCGTCACTGTTTTGGTTTAATTTGCATAACTGGAACATATTTTTATTTCAGCACATCCAAGAAAAAAAGATATACATAACCAACAACCACAGATTTGCGTCACGTAAGAGATTTGTATTCTCGTCTTTATTTTTTTTTTAATTCCCGCCACAACTGACTATCCTTTGTGAAAGGCCTCTCGGTTTTTGCTTTGCGGTGGTTTTTAAAGTTACTGACCACCGTCATAATTCTGATATTACTTATTAAAAATGCATCAAGTCAGAACTGACATCAACTACTATTTGGATGTTTTAAAAGCACATTTACAAAAGATTCACCTAATAATTAGTTTATGCGTATGCATTCTTTAATCGTTCTTTAAATCTTCAACCCCGAAGATGCTGTACACATCAGTTTTTGGTTTCGGCTGTATCTGTGTTAAAATAAGTTTTTTTCTTTCGTTTTGAATTCACGTCAATCAAATATCTCAGCCTTCGTAATATCACGTGACTTTCGAAAGAGACTTTCAGCCTTTGGCTGATGTTCACGAAAGAAAATTCAAAATAGTAATTTAGAAGCCGTTTTAAAAACAGAACAGTCACTAAAACGCTGAGAGGGCGCCGATTTAATTCCTTCCCGTAAAACTGGATTTATGGACATTATTATAGGCGAATGACTGCCATCTAATGGAGATAGTAATTAACTACTGCTGCTTTCTTTATCAAACTATTTCAAAATACAGCCGCTGTAAAAATGCCACATTAAAAACAAACAAATATTAAATATTTGTTTTTTTTAATGTATTAAAAATGTATTATTTACAATTGTTCAAACCAAATGTGTTGAAAACACAAGGTGAATGAATACAAAATACTACATTCTGTTTAATAAACAAAAACCAGGGGGACACCTACATCAAGCTGCAGTATTTCGAACAAACACAGTTACGTTCAAAAACGAGTGGTAGTCATGATGACATCGTGTTGGTTGGCAAGTTTATTTGAAAATGCTGGGCGCATTTTTTGAAGTCAAGCTGTCACTAGGAGCGAGCGCTCTCTCTGGGTCTAACGATCACGGGTGACAGGAAGGGGCGACTCATTAAACCACCTGTTCTGGACACTACTTCGAGCCCAGCAAGAGCAAGACACACCTGTCTCCTCACCTGTCAAGCGACCGAACTTCCGGACGTGCAGAGAAGCCCGCAGCTTCCCGGTTTCTTAAAGAAATGGCACAGGTAAAGACAACGTTTTAGAAGACGGAAGAACTAATTCACACATTTGTGAGTAATGTAATTAAAAACTAGGTATATAATAATAATAATAATAATAATAATAATAATAATAATAATAATGCCTTTAAAGGTGGCTTCTCAAAGTGTCTTAGAGAAAACAAACAAGGAGAGGAGAGACCACAATTACATAAGTTACAATGAGAGTTGTAACTTATGCTGTAAAGGGGGTTGTAACGGGGCATTTCTACAGACTGCGAATGGCTCAGTGATTCACTGATTTAAAGGATGGAAATGAGACCGATAGGGAGTGTTCTTAAACTGACTCGCGTTCTTCCTGTGTCTCCTGGGCAGGAGAAGGTGGTGGGCTGCCAGCTGGATACCCTGCTGGCTGACCTGACCAATCTGATGACCTGGGTGCACTCCCATGCCACCATCTGCCCGCAGGTGCCGTGGCACGAGGGCGTGCTCCGGACAGAGGAGGTGGGCAAGTGCACGGTGATATGGATGTGTGCAGCTGGGCATGGCTACAACTGGCCCCTCGCCCTGGCCAGGTCTCCGATAGCAGCCGGGGGGCACCGCGCCAGCCGGAAGAGGAAGCACCGGCAGTGGGATTGGCACACCAGATTCCGCAGGGAGCCCAGCGGGAACAGGGAGGGCGCCTCCGAGCTGAGCGGCCGCAGCCCTGCGACCCCCTCCCCGGAGAAGAACGACTCCAGCACCGAGGGCGAGCTCTTCATCGAAGAGGAGGAAGAGCCCGGCGGTGGGGGCACCGCACTGGCCCAGCCTGGGAAGGTCGCAAAGGAAGAGCCCACAGACGGGCAGAACACAACTGCATTCAACATCGAGGTGAAAGAAGAAAAGGGGGCGTTCTGGGCGGATTACGGCACCCCACTTCAAGAGCAGAAGACGGTCGTGATCAATATGGCCAGAGATGAGCTTCAAGCAGAAGAAACCCGTGATTCGGAAAAAGCCAGGCTGCTCAGCCCTCTCAATGCCCAGCCCTGGGGTGGCACAGTCACCCCTGTGATGGAGACCAAGAGCGTCCCTGATGTTGCGGCAGAGTATATCATCATCAGCTCTGATACCATAACTTCCTCACCCACGGCTCATTCGGAGGCTGAAGACCTTCCAAAAGCAGACCAAACTGCCGAAGGCAATTCGAGCAACAGCAGCGTTATCCCCACAGCTGAACGGCCTGGTACATCTGAGGATTCTCCCTGTGCTAAGTTCAGCCTTTGTCCCGATGACACAAACAAGGAGACAGCAAAAAGCCAAACTACAAAAAGTGAGTTTAGCGGTGTGTGAGAGCGAGTGTTATGGTCTCATGTCTTAGCCAGGACCAGTTGAAGGGAAAGAAAACATTTTTAATGTGTGAATGCATGAGCAAAATATGGTTATCGAAGCTGAAATATACATGGAAACACGTCACGTTTCATTCCAGGGACAATGACTTTACAAAATATTTTCACTTGGCACTGAAACCCTTTAACGCAGAAGCAAACCACCTTGGAACAACAAGTGTTAAGGTCTTTGCCAGAATTAGCAAGCACTTTATTGGTGGGAAAGGTTTAATTATCTGAAAGGAGGTGTTGTTTGACTTGAGATTCTGTAATGAAATAGAAGCAAGTGCCCAAGCCATCCACTTCTGGAAACCTCCTGGGGAAGCAAAGGCGGTGAGTGGGACCAGTAGGGAGCACTCCCCCCACAGTCTGTGTGAGTCCTAATGCCCCAGTATAGCAATGGGGACACTGTACTGTGAATAATGCGCCGTAGTTCAGATGAGACATAAAACCAAGATCCTGACTCTTCGTGGTTATTAAAAATCCAAGGCTGTTTCTCAAAAATAGTATCTCTGAACTGGCTTCATCACTCTGCTCTCCTCTTCACTGAGAGCTGGTGTGTGGGGAGAGTACTGGTGCATCATCCAGGTGGGGCTGCACACTGCTGGTGGAGGAGGGGAGTCCCCATGACCTGTAAAGTGCTTTCAGTGGGGTGTCCAGAAAAACACTATATAAGTGTAAGGAATTATTATTAATTACTCATATTCTAACACATTGACGTCTCTTAACCGTTTCCTCTTCAGAGACTCCCAGAAGTGCGGAAGGTAAAAGCCGCGCTCGGCTGATGGCCGACGTCAAGGTCTTTAAGGACTGGCTGCGGGCGCGGAGCCCCCAGGAGATACGCCCCATGGGTGCCCTCCCCCCCCAGGAGCTGGACGCCCTGCTGGCGGAGTTCTTCAGCACCCTGCGGCGAGCCAACGGGGCCGAATTCAGCTCCGGCTCCCTGGTGTTCTACCACCGGGCCCTGGACCGCTACGTCCGGCAGGAGGGCTCCAGCTTGAGCCTGCTCAAGTCCCCCGAGTTCGCCGGCTCCCGGGAGGCGCTGCAGGCCCGCTTCCAGCAGCTGTGGTGGCGGGAGAAGGAGAGCGAGATGGAGGTCCTGGAGGGCGTCAGCCAGGAGGAGGAAACGGAGCTGCGCCTGATGGGGGTCCTGGGACGCTTCAGTCCCGGGAGCTTGCTCAACCTGGTCCTCCTCAACAACATCCGCGCCTTCGGGCGGCGCCACCTGCGGGGCGAGTGGCCCGTCCGCTTCGGCAACTTCTGCCTGGTCAAGGAGAGCCGGACGAGCAACGGTGACGGCGGGGCGGTGGAGTACCTGGAGTGGCGGGACCCCAGCTCCTCCCCCCCTCGGCCCCTGTGCCTGCGCGCCCTGCTGGACAACCTGGACCGCTGCCCCGTGCAGGACTTCAAGGAGTACGCCCGCAAACGCCAGACGGGCTACATCACTCCCAGCGACCCCTTCTATGTTGCCTGCAGACCCCTGCAGAGCCACTGGGATGACATCTGGTTCGTCCGCAAAGCCCTGACCTGGGCGCGAATCGAGAGGATGGTGAAGGTCCTCAGCCAGCAGGTCCTGGCCATCCGGAAGAGAAACGCCACTCAGTTTGCTCACACTTAGCGCCGAGGGGGGAGGAAATGGAGCGCTCTATGGTGACCACAACTTCAGAATCTGACTTCCATTAAAGATATTAATCAGCCCCCCCCTCCCACCACCTTCTGCTCCCCCTGACAAAACAGGAAATTCCACACAGAAAGAATGTTTAATGTTGAACTTGTTTCTCCTCCGCTAGCAGCCCTGGCGAGTCGGTAGTTGTCATATGGTATTGTTTCGAATGCAAAAAACTCTCCACCTCTTTCAGGGATGTGCAGTTCGATGCTTTGCAGTTCTAGCTTGCCATAAGCAACTCAGTTCACGGCTCCTCTACCACGTCACTGTCCCAGTTGCCAAGACAGTTATTACACCTTAAATGCCACTCTGTGGCTGTTCCCCGTTCTCTTCTCTGTCCCCTCCCTTAAATACCCAAGAGATCTTATCTGAAACCCTTTATGTGTGTGTGTGTGGTGCGGTCAGCTTAAAAGTTGAAAGCATGACTATATCTCCAAGAATTCTGCTATTTGTAGGAGTTACATTAAAAAGCTAACTTTTAATGGCCGGACATCAATCACGGGTCTGATTGTCTTAAGTATATACAGAATTTCTGAAAGCTTTTTTTGGTATGTGGATAAGAAGAGTGAAGTTTCTGATTATGTCCTCAATTCTACTGGGAGCCTGAGACAAATTCAAGTGTAGTGTTTTGAAAAAGTCATCTTTAAAGAATAAGTCCTAGTTTTAAGAAGAGCAGGGTGCACTCCTTTTTATGTGAACCAGATCTCATCAGGCAGTTTTTTCAGGTGTCTGCAGTGTTGAGAGTGCAGATGGGAGAATTCCTTCCAGGAATTTCTGTATATCCTGGCTTGGCTCTTCTCCAGTGCAGCCACCTGGTGAAAATGGGGCAAGGAAGAAGCCTTAGAAAGACATCATACTGAAATAGACACCTGTGGTAACTGCACTGCCAGAGTTAGTGATGTATGTATATTATAGTATGTGGGGCCTGCTGTGTGGAGTTCATATGTTCTGCCTGGGTTCCCTCAGGGTACAGTTCCCACAGTGCAGGAACATACAGGTAGGTTAATTCACTTCTGGGAAAACTGGCCCTGGTGGGACTGTGTGCGTGTCTATGTTTGTGTCTGTGGCCTGTTTTGGACTGGTGTCCTGTCCAGGGTGTAGCTGGCATTGTGCCTGTTGCTTGCTGGGCTAAGCTCTGGCATCCCATGACCCTGGATTGGGGTAGTATGTGCTTTAAATAATTTCTAAATGATACAAACAACAATTGCATTTTGTTTTAGGGATATGTGAACATTTTTTTCCGGCGCTCTGTGGTGCCACACACATATATACTGTACTTCCCTTTTCTCATTTCCTTTGGCCCAACCTTAAGAATTGTTTGCAAGAGCTATTTTAAATGCTGTAATAAAAGGAGAAGGCCTGGCACAGATCGCACACAACTACAGCAAAATAACCATAACAACAAGCACAGGGATCAGACAAAAATGTTTTTCTGTTAGATTTGTTTCAGGAGTCCCTTTAAACAGATGCCATTTCTACCACAGATAGGGAGACACTTTGGAAATATGCCACTGTCTTGGGGCAATCTCACTTCAATGTGTCGGGCTGTATATTATACACAGTGAATACTGTGAGTGACAGGAGGAAAGGAAAGAGGGAAAGCTGTTTGTCTGCAAAGCTGGAAGCACACTTACAGGATGGGCACCACGCTGAGGTAGCTGATGAGGCAGGAGAGCAGGAAGCTGAAGCCGCTGTACCAGTCCAGGGTGAGGGGGTAGATGGAGGTGAAGAGGAGTACAGACAGGAGATCGGTCAGAGCCAGGCAGGACTGCAGCCAGCCGAAGACACGGCCTGCAGAAGGACACAAGTACAGGACCCACACGCCTTTAGACATCACCCTATCACAGACAAGACACATCACTTCAGTCGTGATTTTTTGTTTTGTTTCGGTTTTGATTTTTTCTTGGGAATCATCACTGTATACAGAATTCTTCACATTTAAATAAACAAAAGTCTAAAACTAACAACAAATAACAGGTGCATTGGAGTAACTCAAGTGATATGAGAACTCATTCCATCATGTTCCACAGGGCCACTACATCTTCATGATCATGCACTTGCTGTATATGGACCAATATTCACCCTTTAGCAGAGCTTTTCAGAATCAAAGAACTGGTTTTGCATTGACTAAGACAAATTCTGAGCCAAAAAACTGTAAGTTCTGATTGCTGGATGTTTATTAGTGCACAGTACCACCCACAATAATTCAGGACAACCTGTTTTTCCAGTTGCGATTTGTTATTTCCAAGTCCAGTAACAAATGAAAACATTTAAACATTAATCTTTCGATTCTGAATATTATGGGTTATGGCCATAACATGAGTTTCTCAACTCCGGAAGACTAAAAGCAATGAGATTTTTTTAGATATCTTTCCAGGATGTTGCTCCTTCCCCTGAAACGTCATGAGCGCTAGAACCCTCTCTTCCTGGACAGACAGCCTTTTAGTAAACAACTCGACTACCACCTAGTGGAGCAGTGAAGTATTACACTACTTGCCCTATACTCGTCAAATGCAACCAACCGACAACACAATCAGCTGATTGCCAGCTTTGTCGTTGCAGTAATCAAGCTTTATTTGGAGCTGAAATTTGCAACCCAAGCATGAGCATGTAGATACAGAACAGGTGAGGGCTCAGCAGAAAGGGGGGGGTGCAGGTTTTATATCACAAGTCAGAGAGCGTTTTGAGTCAAAATATTAAACTCAGCTCCAGCAAATGCAAACAAAACATCATTCTCTTTAACCTTCTCTAATTTTGCTATTTTTACTGCAGAGCCCTTATTCTGTACGTGATTATCCTTTCTGTAATCTAACTCCTAAATCCATCCTTTATGGAACACGTCTGTCTCTTAAACCAGGGGCTTTGAAACCAGCTTTGAGTCCCCTCACACTTACATGTAGGGCAGAATAGAATTGTAGGCCAACAGATGCAGCATAAGTGCTATAAGAGTAGATTCACCTTTGAAGAGAGATGCTGTCACACAGTTGCTAGACTGGGACTGAAAAGTGTCCACTTGTTTTTGTGGCTCTCCTAGCCGTCCCCTAAATGTTCTGACTGAAAACTCTTCTATGAAGGATTGTTTGAAATAAATGAAGGAACAACACAGGTCAGATGCAGGAGTCCTCAACGCCCTGTCTCGTCAGGTATTTGTTGCACCTGAAATGCTTAATTGAGCTAATTATGTTTCTTAATATATCACCATTTTCCAGTTCTTAAGATGCTGGAGAATTAAATCGAATGAACTGTCTCCTGCCAAGATGGGCCTAGGGGCTGTCCACAATCAGCACCTCCTGAGGCAGAAGAAGGCAGTGTGACAGTATGACAAGTTCTCACCATACAGCTGAGCGTCCGTTATCTTGGAGAGCTGGGATTTGATGGTGGGCATTGGGATACAGGCGAACATCATGATTCCGCGAGCTGCAGGGGGACATGGAGTTAAAATTAGCAGAAGCTAGCTGTAGGCAAACCCTAACTACAGGAAGCTGGAACACTGTGAGCCAGGTGTATGATGAGACTGTTAGTATCTCCTCTGATCACTTGCACATTGTGCATTAAGCATATCAGCTCATGCCTTCATTCAGAGGTTTTAAAGCACTCAATGTAGATTTAATGAAATGAGGAATCCTTTTATCCCTTAATCACTTTACTCATAATGAGCTCACAGTTAAGGAGTAATGCTTTATGGGCAAGTGCAATCAGTGGATTGTGTGAAGGGGTGGTGTGTAATTATATGGATTGAGTGTAATTGTGGGGGAGCAAATTTACAGGGTAGTTATGTGGATTTCTTTAGGAGTGGGGTGAAATGAATATTTACGGATAGATGTCTGTTATGTTATATTTATTTGTAATGTTTTGCATGTTTCTGTGTGTGCAAAGCATAACTGCTTTGAATGAAGCCAAATTTCTGAGAAATCAGACAATAAAGTATTATTGTTTCATATGAGATTTATTCCCTACAATATTCTTTGCAATATTTTCTATGAATCAAAATTATTTGCCAGTAGTACTCACTGTTCACGTGCCTTTTTGTCAAATCTAATATATTTTGAAATTGCTTCTTAGCAATTACAGTGGCCTGGCAGCATCTCCAGAGTTGTAATTCGACTTACCAGAGGTCTGCTATATTTGTATTAGGCATTTTTATCAATATACGATGCTGAGTGCCTGATTCATGCATTTATAACATCAAGGCTTAATTCCTGCAACTCTTTATTCTATGGGCTTCCTAACACTCTTCTACATTCTATCTGTATAAGCCTGTATGTTCTGGTTGAATTTAATTTTCTTTTGCTTTTTATTGTACATTTTTGTCTTTTTCTCTAGCACTTTGTACAGCACCCTTGGGTTTGGAAAGCTGCTTTGTAAAAGAAAGTGATCATTATTATTCTTCCCTGTGAACCACACAACCGTTTATTCGGGATTACAGCCAGCTGGTGAGCTCTAGTACTCACCCAGGAAGTAGACCCAGCTTTGGCTGGCGAAGGCCAGCACAGCCATGCCTGTGCAGTTGGAGACGATGCCCAGGAGGATGAGCGCCCTGTCGCCGAGCCAGCGGGAGAGCACCAGCACGCCCAGGAAGCTGGTCAGGTACATGGCATTGGTGGCAGCCCGCCCATAGCCTGCCCACACTGAGTCCCAGGCCAGGGGCGGCTTCAGCACAAAAAGACACAGCACGTTCTCTGCCCCGGACATGCCCAGGACGAACAGGATCATGGAGGCAAAGAGCAGCGCCAGTGCGCTGCGGTCGATCGGCCCTCCCTCCGGGGACGCGGCCAGCTGGCGGTAGCCCTCCCGACCTCCCGTGCCGGATGGCGAAGGATAATCCAGGAGGAACAGGGAGTAGAGGAGCCCCACTGCACACACTAACAAGGCCACCACCGTCAGTGCAACCCCCGACTGGCCCAGCCGGTAGATGTACCCCGACACCAGCCCCCCGGCGATGCCCGCCAGGCCGCTGAAGAGCTCCACCGTGTTGATCCGCAGGCTGCGCGCGCCCTCCCCCGACCGCAGGGCTGCCACCGACACCAGGCCGCCCCAGTAGGCCGGCGAGCCCCCGCTCAGCCCGTGCAGCGCCGCCCCCAGGTACAGCACCCACAGCGGCAGCCGGAGCAGCAGGAAGAGCAGCAGGAGCGCCTTGCTGAGCACCGAGCCCACCTGGGGCACGGCCAGCAGGACGCGCGGCCCCCTGCGATCCGCCAGGCGGCCCAGGGCCACGGTGGAGAGCAGGGACAGCAGGGAAGCCAGCGAGCTCTGGACGAAGAAGAACCGGGAGGAGAGGGCTTGGGCCTGGTCGCTTTGCCCCATGGCCGTTTCCAGGCTGCGGTTGTAGACAGCCAGAGTCAGGGCAGCATCGTAAAAGGAGCTGCCCACGGTGTTGATAATGACCACAGGCTCCACCAATGTCAGGAAGCCCACCATGGCTGCTCGGGCACAGGAGAAGAGATCGGGTGCGTTTCTAAAGCTCCAGGACCGTCAGTGCACCATGTTTAAATTTCTGATAATACGGGCAAGTTCTAGGGCTTTCTAGGTTTTGAACAGTGACTTTCAAACTAGAAGCGCATCTTCAAACTCACATCCGATAGGTTATTGTGCGTTACTGGTAAGTCGCCTAATTCTTAACTAGCCAATAGCGAACAATGTCTTCAAACATTCTGAAAATTAAATCATTGGTTTTGTAGTGTCAGTGCAGGTAAGGAAAATTGCAGATTCAAATCATGAAAAAAATCCTTACCAGGGATTAAAGATTAAACATCCACACGCTTAGGAATCAATAAGAAATCAAGTGATATCCAGTAAGTCCATAAGCCTTATAGAAAGAAATAATAATCACTCTTATGGCAGTAATAATCTCCAAGGTTTCAAAAAGCTTTGACTTAAAAAAAACTGCTGGATAAGACTACAGGTAAAAAGCTAATAGTAAAATAAATATACAATTCCTGAATGATGGATCAAAAAGTGGGGTTTCTGGTATTTTAAGAACAGCTACTGTACATTCCGGGCTTGAAAGATGTTGTCAGAAACAGTCGTTTAAGAAAAGCAATAAAACCTAAAGATTCCAAGTTAGAATTTGGAAAATCTATAGAAACTATAGAAAAGTTGTCTCGTATGGTGATGGAAGCTTTGGATATCCGTATCGGCACAAAGATCAGTACTTACATACATTACACGTAGCAGTTAAATCATACCGACTAGCTTCGTCACCAAAAACGCGAATCTTCTCGGCCAGAGCAGAGAGCCATTTCAAAGAAGGCCCCTGACGTGCAATTTGACTGGCAACGGTGTCATCCAGAGTTTTGACCTGAAGGATCGTGCTTGATCCCGTGTCTGTCTCCTGTATGACCCCAGCTAGAGAGAGTCAGGAGAGCGGCCGGTCGGCGGAAGGTACAGCACTTCACCGCAATGCTCACTGACAGGCATCAGTTATAAAGAGCAAGTTATAGAAGAGGAAGGAACACATAGAGGAATGAAGTGAAAGTGGATGTGTAGGAAAGCGTCTAAATAACAGGTTGCTCTGTAATTGAATCTGGACTCGACAGGAGACCTGCAGTAACATGTAACGTCATGGACTCTCTTTCTGTGTGTGTGAGGATATCTGATGTTTTTTTGTGCCATATCCTAAGTTGCCCCTATCATTCTTGTTATACGTTTTGAGGACTAAATACCAAGGGTGCCCAGATATAATAATCAACCAAGCTTTTTTTATCCACACAGCATTTCACAAGAGCGTAATTAACACAACGACACGCTCCCAGCAGTGTGGAGTTAAACTATAGAATAAAAAAACTTAAAACATACTTATAATAATACTGCCAAGTAGTAAAGATAATAAGCACAGTTCCAAACTTTAGGTTATCATTTTAGGTTAAAACATTTTATTGAAAATAGCGCTGGAGGGTTTCTTTTATTAATAGGGGCAGGTCAGCCCACAATGTGGGAGCTCTGAAAGAGAATGGTCTGCCACTTACGGTTTACAGTTTTTTTTATCTTCCCTAAGGATCCTGGGCAGAGCCACAACCTCAGACCCATGAGAATGACTCGAGAGAAGCAGGTCACCCGTTTTTTCACAAAATCAGAGACCACAGTCATACAGCGCTTTATAGGTCAGAAGCAGGGCTTTTTACTTGACGCTGAGCTCTACAAGAGCCAAGGCAAAGAAACTGTGCCAGCACAAGGGTCGTATTCAATATCTGGGTACTGGAACTCTTATGGAGGAAATTACAAAGACAGATGAGGTGAACTACGAATTAGCTAAAGACATCCACAACACCAAGAGTAGCTAAACCTTGTTGAATCAGCTTACATAGGCAAAGGTTAAGGGAGTGAACCCAAAAATGAAATCAAGAATTGAGGGGACACCTTGAGGCTCCTTGGATTGGGATCAGACCCCCCTATAATCCTCTGTGCACCCCAAGCCACTCTGATTCAGTCTTGCCGCTGGATAAGCCTACAGCAGTTCTCCTACTGCAATAGCTCTCACGTGCTGATGGCCTTGTGTGCAGCTCTTCGAGACCTGCAGCAGCAGAGAAGCAGCAACAGGGACGGGTGTTTGCAGGGAGCCTTCAGCCATGTTCCCAGTTCTCAGCTTACATAAAGACTCTGGCTGCAGCTGGGAAATAATATGACTTAAAATAACTTAGAAGAACACAGTACGATACAATCCGAACACACACCGTAAACCCCCGAGAAGCAAAGCCACTTGATAAATGCTTTTAGAAAACTGAGGTCACAAGTCTTTGGAAACTTCTGTGATTTTGACTGTGGGCTGTGACATTTATTACAGCCTTTGTGAGACAGAAGCAGGAGGAACAGTCCAGACCATAAGAAGAACTACCACGCTTTCATATTGACATAGGTACTCCTGCTTGGGACTTACCAACCACTGTAAAGAACTGCCATCTTTTACTTTCTAACGCCCCCTCGGAGGAAACCTTCAGTTTCAGTTATTTTTGTCCGCCTTGAAAAATTCTGATGAAAGCCACACAGCTTCTTTGTCATTAAAGTAATACTTTCCACTGCATGTGACCATGATAGGTTGGCATTTCTGTTTATTAACTACAGTACACAATGAAATGGGGAGAAACTACAATTAATCACACTTCAGCAATACGAACGAAAACAGGAAGCTCCGTCTGTCAGAATTGAGGTAGTGGTAGTAAATTGAGGTAGCGGTTCTGCAGGACTGTTTTTTTTTTTAACAGGCCAGTTGTCCTTAGAACAACACTGATAGTAAGGAGTTTGTGCTCTGTACCAGCACCCATCCTAAAACTACAAGAGTGGCCTGAAATATGAATATTTTGAAGAGCCCTTAATGTTGGAGAATTAGCAGGTAACTGGTGGCATTAGCAGGTTGTAGCTGAAAAGCGTTCGAGGTCAGAATTACACCGTAGGACTCTTGTATGGAGAAAGGGAAGAGAAGATATGGAAAAATAGGTGCCAAGAGTCCCATTATACATTCAAGCATCCACACAATTAATAGGACCTTTCATGTTGTCTCCTGTTGCTCAGCCAAGTAAGTGGTTTTAGCCATTCTGCAAGCCAGTGTTGACAGAAAAGTAATGCTAGCACAGTAAATTCACCTCCTCTTAACATTAACATACTCTAGAGAATCCAATTAGGAAGCACCGAAGAGTAACCTGGAAAATAAATCATCAGAAACATGACATAAAAGGAATGAGACTTCGCTTCCAGCAGATTTTGTTTGTATTGTTATCGTATGTGGATTCTTTGCAGAGGTGTTCAGATTAATTTCACCAGTGATTAAAATGATCTGAGTTCTGGAGCACCATCACGAACATTTATGGGCACAGGTTCTGCATGGTTCTGCTCCAGTTTTGCTTTGGCCTGGTTTCCAGTTTCAGTGCCAGCCTGAACACGATTTAAGGCTGCTATCACAATGGATTTACAACAGCAAACTTTCAGAAGGCCATAACAGCATTTATTCATTTAAAGCTGATAATGAATCCATACACAGAGAACCACATCCCAGCTAGTACTGTATGTCATCGGATTTTGCTGTACCTTAGTGACGAACAGGGAGTACAGCATGTAAGAACAGACTGAAGTGTGCACTGCTGTGAAATAAGAGACGTCAATCAGTGTGAAAGGAGGGGGTCTGATACTTAGCCCATTTAAATTATAACACTGTACACACTGCAGAGGAAAGTTTAAGGACACAGATCGATTCCAATAATTTATTAATTACAAATCAGAAGCATTGGAAATATTTTTTAGACACAATATGACTGTAGGATTATAGAAAGGTTATGCATGCTATATATCTAAAACGAAAACGATTACCAAGCAGATAAAAAATAGAGTCCCTGAAATATAGAATTTCTTTATTTTCTGAGCCTATCCAAAGTTTTACTAGTAAACTTTGCAAGTCAACTAGAAATAAAAATGTGTCAATGTTTTGAGAATCGGAAGTACATCAGTCTGCATCTTGAGAATGTCTTTAGTCACATCAGCTGACCTTATAAACACACAGCATGTTTCTTTCAAGGATATACCTGCCATACTTTGTTTTAAGGTTAAATTGTGTTATTGTGACATCCTATTTACACAACTATTTACTAATAAGAGCATTACAATTTGTTCACATTTTAATGTTTTCACTGCTGCTTTCTGACAGTGACATCAACATTCTTATATCAACAGCTGTAAGACCAATCAGGAGAAAATAGCAAACCCATTTTCTTTCCAAATACTTTTTTCATTTAAGCCTGGTTCCAGAAAGAAAAGTTTTGTCTTAGTAAAACCCTTGAATTGTTCATTATGATGGGAAAATTGAAGTGTTCAATTTTTCATGACTAAATATAATGACCTGCGCACAGCATGTTTCTTAATCCAAACTATTAACCATAAAATATTTAAGGATTCTACACAGGTATAGGCAGCATTTGATGCAAAAGCAGAAAATCATGTCCATCTGCAAATCTAATTTGCAATTTTCAGAAACTTTCTATGCAAACATCAAACTACAAAGCTTTCAATAACATGCATCTGCAATCATTCTGTATTCTTCAAAATGTATCATTTTATATATACATAAACAATTCATTGCTATATTGTTCTAGGGAAGAAGGCAGTACAGGCTCATATGTGTTAAAACTCTCTGCTTTGGCACTTGATCTTTTACTGTGATATACACATATATGTTTGTACTGATGCTTGTGACCTACTCCCCCTTCTATAATGCAACATTTCTTGCATATCACATGTGTTTGGATTACAAAGTATCTCTTTTTGACTGCACAGCTCTAAATTACACTTAAAACCAGCTGTTTAAATCTGATCAGAATGATCTGGAGCATCACTTATGAAAAGGTTAAAATTTGATTAATATGGAATGTATTGGTATGAAAGTGTGTTATTGCCACACATTCAGATGTGCAAATGTAAAAAAGAGTGATATTTAATGATGTTCAGTTTCTTAATTTTGTAGAAATCCGTTCCAAATGAAGGCACATTGATTCAAGGTGTTTTTTCAGTTTCACTGTTAAGGAAGACTGGGACCACAGCTGAAGGCACTAACTACAAACTGACATTGCTTGAACTAGCAGATCAAGACATGTCAATACGCTCTTTTCAGGTAGTGAGAGCTGACCATGACAAGCCCAGCTCAGTAGGAAATTCAATGCAATGTAGGCAGCCACTGTCTCATCACTGACCTTTCCCCGAGAGAGCTCTGAGAGCCTCCAAGTTTATTTGTCACTTCCTCTGCTTCAATTGACACATGTTTTCCTCCAGAAGTCATAGCAGCAGCCTCTCCCCGAAAGCTCTGAAACAGTTTTCTCCTCGGGCCAGTTCGTAAAAGCACGTTGCACAATCCTGCTGCCCTATCCCACTGCGCATCTGCAGTTGTGCCTGGCTGACACCAGTAAGCCGGAAATCACAGCAGGATTGGGAGACACTGTAAAAAGCATGAGAATGTGGTGGCGGAAGTAAAGGGGGTAGCAGTGGGATATTAACCAATCAGTAGGACCATTCTCCCTCGGCTCTTTCCGTTTTTGCATGTTCTCCGGTGACCAAGAGATGAGGCAATTTTTCCACTGGTTGTGCTGTTAGGAGGGACTCGGTCATGGTAGCTGGGGAAGAGAGATTAAAACCTCTCCCTCCCTTCTCCCTTCCTCAAAAAAAAAGGCTTTGCCAGTGTAGCTCACCCCTGACTAACGCCAGCCTGCCTTCTCCCCTTCAGTCGGCAGCGGTGTTGGTATACATGCCCGCTTCCCAGAGCAGGGCGCGGGTGTTCTTGTGACGTGTCACACGTGTGGCCTCCAGGACCTGCCAAGCAAAATGGAGACAGAAGTTCGGGCAACTGAGTTGTCTTACTGGCATTCCAAGTACCACCCAGAGAGAGACAAGTGGGCATAGTGCCTACTGTCTACTATAATGACATTTGGTGTTCAGCCTGTTCAGGGCTTCTGCACACACTATAGTTCCCCTAAACACAGGTGTGTATGAATGATCTCACACTGCCTCTTTAATCCCATAATGTACCTCAGTGGCAATTTCCACTGAGAAAACTCTTTGGTACTAATGCTCACTGTTTCAAGTGGGAAAGGCAAAGCAAAAAAAAAGCTTAATTTGCTGCAGAAGGATGCATACATTTCAGTGTGCAGCAGCTCATTCTATGGAGCTGTTTCGCAGGATTCAAACCTTTGAATCCCATTTAAATGCTCCAATTTAAAAGCATCCAATCATGTTTTACGAGCATGACTTTCATTTATTTGAAATAATACTTCACTCCAGTGTCCCCAATGACTAATGTCCTAATCCTTCCTAAAGTGAACCAGAATCACAGAGGGCTACTTGGCAGCGCCTGCGCTTGGATTCGGACAATTTGGGAAACGCTCCTCACCTCATTGTTCACATCATCACTGGGCTGAATGCCAGCGTACTGGGGAGAGAAAAGCAAAATGAGAAGTCTAGTAGAGAAGTCCGATTCAATATACATCAGGAAATCGACTTTATAAACAACTGTTCAGCTAGACTAGACAGGAGCGTGGTCAAACATATTCCAGGATAATCAGAGTACTCTTACAGTTTGAAATGTAGGTTCACTAGACTTGACAACATCCAAGCGTTTAGTGCGCTGAAAGGGTATTTTAGTCAAAAATGTGGCTTAACACACTTGGCTGATGGCTGACTTCCTGGCCAGAGGGAGGAATGCCCAAGGGGCAGCTGCAGAGGTAGAGATGGGGTGCAGAAAGAGGTAGAGAAGGGGATAGTGTGTAGTATTCATAATGTTTTAGGTTTTTGGGATGATAATGAATTACTGACGGCATGGTTTTTACTGAACTTGGCTGTTGTCATCCCTCCCTAACTTTCATTACAAACTCCACTATAAATGGGAGAACAGTTTAGTTTTAAGAAACTGAGGTAAATATGAAGCAGATACGGCAGATTTGCTTTACTATAGTGAATCTGGCATGGCCGTTTTGAAATGTTCATATACTTTGATCTTTAGTTGCACAAAGCTTTCCTGTGCTTTCCTGCATTTTTCATATCATTAAATAAGCCGCTACAGGCATCTCTGCTACGGCCCCCAGAGGTAGAGGAATCAGTCACTCTCTCCAGTCAGATTCAAACATCATTCCAGCGGAGACACCACTCAGGATTGTGCAGCTGATTATCTCCATCATTTGCTATTTCCATACCAGCTCATGTGTCATCTCTTTTGTTGAATGGAGCTGCTTGAAGTTAATAATAATAATGTGATGATTTTAGTCTTTAAGAAAAAATCTGTTTTGTTCAGTTTCATTCAGAATGTTGTAATTTCTTAGTTATTGCTGCCAAGACCTTGTGCTTTATCAGCTTCTGCATGATTATGAGATGAAGCATAAGCCTTTATATACAGTGCTAAAACATGCACAGCCCTGTTTACGGCTGTTGTTTTTTTATTCAGTAACTGAATTCTTATTCCCAGTTATTCAACCCAGTAAGAGAGCTCAGATGTAATTAAAACCAGTAGAAAGGGGGCGGGCAAAAAAACAGCACCCCCCAGTTTTCTGTCCTGCATTCACACACATTACCTTCACACCGGACAACCCCACCCTCCGACTCACTGCGTTCTCCTCCAGCCTCTGTTTGATCCTCCGCTCCTCGAAGTTCTCCAGCAGCGTCTCCGTCAGCCCTTTAAGGGTACTGGGCTCACACCGGCCGTTTGGATCCATCACTGGGGGCTCACGGGGGGAAGAGGGGGCCTGGGGCCGCGGGGATCCCCAGGGCTGGGCTGTTACCATGCTTAACAGGGGCGCACGTGGAGCAAATCGGGGAGAGGCCAGAGGTGGGGTCGTTGTCTCTGGATTGTCTGAAAATGCACAGACGCTAATGAGCAAACGCAGAACAAGAAGGATCAAACAGCAGCTTTTGTACAATGACATCGACGTCCCCGCCTTTAAAAACAGAACCACGGGAGTTGGGGTCTGCAGCTGTTTGGTGTTGATTGAGTGTGCTTGTAGCTGAGGATGAAAGAAGGCAGGCGTGCTTGTTTAAAAAAAATGACAACCTGGAGGAAAAGGAAGCTGTATGCAAAACCTTGAGGAGACAGCAGAATCCCTTTATCCGCTGTCCTGTGACAAATATTTTGGCTTAGATTTTCGAGGGCTGACTTCCTTACCGGTATAACACTTGTTGCTGTTATGTTTAGGCCTATAGACCTGGCAGGTCAGCATTTTTTTGGCTTCCAGTTCAATCAGTTTTTCTATTAGATCATATGACACGGCTTTGGTGAATCAGCCATATACAAAATGTATCATTGATGCACACATTGACAAAAAAAACAGATTAAAGTGTTACATATAAAAAAGACAATTCTTTGTGGTGACATATAAAAAGATTGCCTCCCAAAGAACCTTTGTGATAGAAATTGCTAATGATATTATATGGAGTCCAGTAAATCCTAAAACTACAGCTAAACAGTTCCTGTAATGTTGGCTATTGAATATATATTTTTCAACAGTGGTAAGAAATATTTCTTGCCAGCAGATGTCACTGTTACTCAATAGCAAAAAATCCCCACTAACACCACTTCTATGACACTACAAAAAAAAGTCAATACTTCTAAAACAGGAAAAGGAATACATTGTTCTGAAAAGACGAAAATGGCAGTGCATATAACCATTTGGCCTAACCCTGCATTTTTACTCATTTAAAACAAGTCTGCGTTCATGCTGAAGAAAATATTTTTCTTCAATCATTAACTGAAGTCCAGGTCCTATTTTCAGTCAGGGAGTTTGTAAGGCACGAACAAAGTTCAGATACACTAATTAAGTTAACTATTCCACCCTCCTACTCCCAGAACGAATGATTATCACAAACAGGAGTTCTGCTAACTCAGTGATTTAAGAGAACACTCTGTCAGGATGTGGCCATTAAAATAGCAGACAATTGAGAGGAGTGCTGAGCTAGTGTATTGGAATGCAGTGAGCTCTGAACTGCCAAAGTATAATGAGTCTGTTGTGGTATTCTACAGTAAGCACATAAGATTTTAGCAAAGCATGCTAAACACTGGTTAAAAAATGTTAAAGTAGACGTTCATAGTAAATCTATGCAAATTAAATTCTTGCAACAACTCTTGCAAAACTGGCTGACAAATTTTCAGTGGTAATGGTTTAGGAAGGGACAGCTGTGTAGTCCACCAGGCTGGGAATGTAGACTGACCAGAGGAAGGTCCAGTGCGAAGAAAACTCAGCAGAAGATAGTCTACGGCCATTGTGGCAAGACAAGTTGTCAAGTACTGAATCTTCCAATCCTTTGCTCAGAACTCTGAGCCTGCAGCCATTATCTGGTGGAACTGTGTAACAATCAGTCCAAAGAACAGGTTGTCTCACAGTCCTTCAATGTAATTGAATGCATCGTATTTGACTACTTTTTAACTGGATTAATGTCTCACCTACTTTATATAGTAAGTACATATGTAACACTGCTTTCAGACACCCAGCTTGTAATATGTCACATTCATGGAAAAATGCATTGAAAAATGGCAACGATTATCAGAGGAATTCTGTGAATTTCATCTTCATTTTGTTAGGCTAAAGGCTGAATATATCTCTATCGGTGATCATTTTGAATTCTGAAGGAGGTTACTGAAATCTAGTCAAATGCCAACAAGATCTGTCAGGTGACATTGAGATGGAACTTTAAATTTGTGTTATTTTAAAAGGTTTTTAAAATTTTCACACTTAAATTACAGCAAATTGTTTTAATATGAGTAAACCCAGTGCCAATATCTAATTATTAATGGATTTACTGCACTTTTCCCATTCTATTGCGTGAATAATTATAGATGGACACTAACTAAGATCTGAGGTGTTGTTGTTGGCACAGGGACCAGTATTTTACACTTGGGTACACTGAATTATAAATGCACAGTTACATTTAGGGATTTGAGTTAGGGTTGAACATATTAAAATAATGCTCTAAATGCACTACAGTAGGTTATGAAGATTCCATGATCCTACCTAAGACCTGGACTATATCAAAACCTCAACCAACCTTCCATTTTAAATTATAAACCTGAAGAAGCCTGAGGATGTTTCCATCCTGCACTACTTTTAAAAATCTGCATTTGTCTGGTAGGTCTATTTTTTAATTAGACCTTAAATGAGTAAATGAGTAGAATTAATATATTTTTGGTCATTTAACTAGCAAAGTATGCTTAGGCTCAGGTGTCCTGCAAGTAAAGTTGTGTAAATCATGTGGACATACATTGCAACTGACAGGCGGCCATGTGGCCTCTTTTTAGCTCGTTTGCTTACTAGTAGCTAATTAATCTGAGGTTCTCTTCCAGTTGTTTCTCGAAAGAAATGTATTAAGTGGTAAAACTAGTTCCTTCTTTATTAGTATTTGCTTGCTTGTTTGATCGACTGTGGCCCTGCATCACATGAATTATATCAGAAAATATGGCTTTTACTCCAACGACTGATTCACTGAACAAAATCTCACCAGATATCTGAGCAGCTAATGGATTCTTTATTAAAAGCAGGAGCAGCAATGCTGCAGGGATCACCCAATCGTATTATGGACATTTCGTCAAGTATTCTGTTCAGTTATATTGTAGGTATATTAGCTAGATAGATATCATGGCATGTACCTTACCTAGCTTGAGTGGAGTGACCTTTGGCTTTGCATGGTCTACGGCATCCAGACCCCACAAGTGAGGCAATGTGGCTCCTTTATACCTCTCAACAGCAGGTGCAGGACCAGGCTCTGGTGCCACTTGGTCAGAAGCTGTCAGTTTCCTGTACTGCAAGAGAAGTGGGCTACTTTCTTTGCTCTGTTCTGCCGTGGGTGAGACAATTACAGGAGATGTCCTATCCAAACCATTCAAGTCCCCATCCCGAGAGGAAGAAAGCCCAGTTCCCTCCCTCAGCCTGCGGAGCTCCAGCTCTCGTTTCAGGTCCTCCTCAATCTCCAGCCGTATGGCCTCTGGAGTCTGGAGCTTGCGAGTCTTCATCTGGAACTTCTCATGCTGGCTGTGCCAGGGACGTTTTGGATCATGGACCTCACTGAAGTCCTGAATGTCCGTGGCTGTAGGAATGCCTGTCAACCCTTGGACCAATGGATATCTTAGTGAATCATTCACTGAATGTTCAAGAGACATTCTTCCAAAAGAATCTCTGACAGGAGTTGAAGATAATGGATTGTTCGGCATTGTTATGCATAATGACTCTTTGACTGAGCTGGGCCCCAAATGATCTCTGGGCAAGGTGAACTGCACAGAGTCCTTGACTGTTATCAACTGGGCTTGATCATCACCTACCACCAAAGGCGCTAAAACCTTAGTTACACTGATGTCTGGAGACTTCTCAGCTGTCGTATGCATCTTGGAAACTGCGGATGTCTTTAGCCCAACGTCCTTGTCACCAACTCCAGCTTCAGGGTTGGGTAGTTGATCTCCCCTGGAGAGCAGCGAATGTTTGATTTCGTGCTGCACTCTGTACTTGTTCTCTTCACTGCCCAACCTTTCTTTTTGAGGTTTGACTGGGGAATCTTTCTCGCGAGCTTTGAGAACATAGTCATTCTCATCAGGATGTCTATGTGGGCAACAAGGAGGTATGAAACCTTCTGTGTCTACGTTGTCTTTGTCTTCAATTATTAGTGCAACTTCTGGAGTGAGCCTTCCGTCTTCTGTACCTGATTTGGACTTTGTGGCATCTACAAGCTTACCAGAAAGGCTCATCCTGATAGGCATCACTGGCACCTCATCAGGTTTCAGCTCAAACACTCTCTTTCTCTCCTCCAGTTCCTGAGGCGTTCCTCGATCATACAGCCCTGCAACCTTGCCCTCATGTAGCAGGTCCTCCTCTCGGCGAATCTCTCTCTCAATCTCTCGCTGAATGAAAAAACTCACTCGGGCTTTCTCCTTGGTCTTGCCCACTGTGGGGGAAGAGGTCTGACAGTCTTGGGAGAGAAAAGGCTTGGTCTTGATCTGCACTATCTCCTTGCTGTCAGAACGCAAGATCCCTCGTTCCCGCCGAAGATTCTCCTCTCTCTCCTGGGCAATACGGATCTCCCGTTCGATGGGAGTCTCTGTCTTTGTTGGGGTCTTGGATACTAGAACCTCATGGGAAGTACTGCTATCACTGGCATAGCCCCCACCCAGGTCCAAAGATAGCTCTCCTAATCCAGAATCGAGATCATCAAAGCAGATATTTTGCCTCTTACTGCCATTACTGCTGTCCGCCACCAAAGATACGGTGACCCTTTTGCTGGTGAACACCTCATCCACGGGTGTGTCTTTCTCAAAGTATTGTTTTTGGGGTAGGGCAGGCTTTTCCTCCATTTCATCACCTTGATTTACTTTCACAGCAAAGGTGGTCCTTTCTTCCATGTGAGGAAATGCTTGCAACTTTGGGGTCTGTAATTGCTGAGGGCTTTGGAGAAAAGGATTCTGGTTGGACCTTTCCATCATGAGGAATTGCTGACGTGCTGCACTGAAGTCGATCTGCTTAGTGTCAATACTCTCAGACTCTACCATGTGAGAGGACTGCTCACTGGGTGTGTTATAGTGGAGTGCAAAACCTTCCATGAGTCTACTGGGTGACTTGGTTGTATCTTGTATCTGTAGAGTGTTCCACTGTTCATTGAAGGTGGAGCTCTTCTTTGGTGCCTGGCTGCGGATGATCTGCAGCCTCTCGTACTCCAGTTCCTGATCTTCCAGGGGGCCATCACCATCAGTTATCCTGTAGCGGGCGTCTCCATTCTCCTCAGCAAAGAGTTTGTCTGGCTTCTGCTCTTCATGATATGCCCGCAGCTTGAAGCCATTTTCTACCCTTAAGGTGGCAAGCTTGGCTTCCCTCTGAGGAGAAGACATCCAAGCTTCAGTTTTTTCTGCTTCTTGAGTGGTGTCTTCAAAGGAATAGAAACCAGTCTGTGGACTTCCTGGACTCTCTGGGCTCTCCGAATTCCAGTCGTCCTTCTCTTCCACTACTGAGACCTGTCTTGCATGTACCACCACTTCCCCCATCCTCTCCTCTTGGCCTGGTGTGACTGTTACCGAGGGCTGGGACCAATTCACTAGGATATGCTCCCAGGAGTAGCTGTTTGCATCTGACTGCATACCACAACCGTTTTCTAGAGAGCTTTCCAACTGATCTTGTGTTGTTTGTTCTGTCACCCCAAGTCTGGGAGACAGGTTTCTCATCATCCATCTCTTGGGATTGCTCTCCATTGGTGTCCTTGCTTCTGAGTCTCCTGGTACAATCTTGGGCAGTTGATGCTCAGAAATAGTCAATGCCTATTCTTCTTCCCCATTCCAGGACGACTGAACCTGTTGACCTGCAGCCGAGTCTGTTGACTGCTTCTGTCCAAAAGAAAAAGTAAGTTAGTATGCATGTACAGTACATGGTGTCTTGTGATTTAACGGGAATTATTTTTTACATGTCGAAAATAATAAAGGTGATCAGGCCAATTCACATCTTCTGTCTGTGCCAGAACCAGAAACTAATTTTGATCATATTGTGTGTAAGAGCAATGGGCATACAACAGAGTTCTGTGCTGCTTTTCAAAGGGTCATTCTCTTGTGACTCTTATGTCTTCTGTGTTATTCATCAGCTCCTAGGACCCTGAAGTGAAAGTATAAGGAGCACCAGCTAATTCGTTTATTACCTGACAATAAAAATACCAATTACACCGCTGTAAGCTTACAGCCTACTGCATGAAAATCAAATGAAACACAGGCTCAAGGTCTCTGTTTATCAAGGGAAAATGGATTCAAAAACAAAAAATTGTCTGATAATGGATGGGACCACTTCGATTTGCTCATTTTAAAAGCACTGCAAACTAACACAAGATCAGTATCAAAAAAGGATACATCATGGTTGAAAAAGGACATCCCCTATTGCAGTTTAAGCTGCTTAGGAACAACAGAGGTCTCAGGTATATTAAAGATACAGCTATTTTTTTCACATTTTTTAGTAATCCTTACTAAGCCACAGCATGACTGAATTCAGGAAATCAACCAGGAAGTATCTTATTTCTGGTAATGGCGAACATGAGATTTTAGATAAGCACGCAGACTTATTATTGATTATCTCTTGCTGAAACAGCACATTTTCAAATCCATTTAAGCTTTAATGAGCTTATTGATCAATACCCAGCAATAAATATTCCCGATAAGCTTCTTAAATACAAAGCACCTGACTCAAAAATTCCAAATTCTAACCTGGGCAGTGGGCAGCACAGTGATGCAGTGGTTAGCATTTCTGGTAGGCTAGTAGGTTACTGGTAGGTTACTTGGATTCTGGGAATCCTGCACTGGACTGGCATCCAGTCCAGAGTGTATCCTGTTTTGCATATGTTGCTTGATGGGATAGGCTCATGTGAAAAACATGCACCTGTCCCAAATGCAGGCATGACAAAGTTGAAAGTTCTGTCACACTGGTCACACCTCGTGCCTCATTGAGTGTGTCAGACATTCCTGTCAGTCTTGTGAAACTGCAGGCTTATCCTTGCTTTATAGCTCTTGACAAGAACACTACCTTTTGCCTGGATTCCTGGCACGCCACTCTGATAACATCGAGACTTCTCATCACCTTACTCAGAATTTGGTGCTACTTCCTGGTATGATCATAGACCTATTACAGAAAATTCCTGGCCTTTGCACCTTCACCCTGTGCATCACAAAAACTCATAACTGGCAGCCCACTGAGGCTCAGAAGGTGGCCAATACCTGGATGGAAGACCTCCTGGGAAAGCGAAGGTTGCTGCTGGAACAGGTGCTAGTAGGACCAGTAGGGGGCGCTCACTCTCCAGTTTGTGAGGGTGCTAATGCCCCAATTCAGCGATGGGGACACTATACTGTAAAAAATGTGCCGTCATTTGGATGAGACGTGAAACTGAGGTCCTGACACTCTATGGCCATTAAAAATCCTCAGACTATTCTCGAAACGTGTAGGGGTATTACCCTGGTGTCCTGACCAAATATCCCTTTGGCTTTTACCAATCATGGCCTCCTAATAATCCCCATATCTGAACTGGCTTCATCACTCCGCTCTCCTCCCCACTGAAAGCTGGTGTGTGGGGAGAGAACTGGTGCACTCTGGCTGCTGTCACATCATCCAGGTGGGGGCTACATATTGGTAGTGGAGGGGATATCTAATACTGAAGTTCATCCCCCACCTGTGACAGCTGTTATGCTCCAGCCATCCCACTGCACAGCAAACCGGGTGAAGTAAGAAATGGCTTCACCGGTTGAATAAAGTGTGAATTTTAGGGAGGACATTGTGCAAACCCAGAGTGGAATTTAGACATGGCAGTGGGGTTAACACCCATACTCTTCCAAATGCGACCACAGAACAAAAAGCAGGCAGGGCCTTGGATTACTGTCTCATCCAAAGGACATCACCTCTTACAGCACAGTGTCCCTGGTCACTGTTCTGGGGCTCTGGTTTGGAAATTCTGGTCCAGAATCTGGTTCACCAACGCTTCCAACAGCTGCTGAGTTTTACCAGGGGGTCTCCCACTTCAGTACGGACCAGGCCTGGCCTTGTTTAGTTGCTGAGATCTGAAAAGATCAGGCTGGAAGATGCCAATTCTTCTCATGTACCTAAAAGAAACAGCAGCACCGATCCATGCAGTCTGCTCCCACATGCAGACCCAGAACAGAGCCTGACCAGTGTATGTCCAGCATCTGCTGCTGACACCAAAGCTGCTCCAGAACATTATTTCTCAGCAAAAGCTAGGGGAAGCTGACTGTCTGCTTCATTTGTCCCAGAGTGGTTTTGAAGGAGCTGCAAGGCAGAGCTGTGTGCAGCTTGTACTGGACTGTGTATTGCTGATGCTGATAAGCCCTAGTCAGCACGTGGATTCCTGGAACTCAGCTCCTTTGGAGGGTCTCATTGGTCCAGCCTGCCGAGGTGGGGCAACAGAAGCGCTCACAGCTGCTCCACTGTCCCCCACTATCTCATCTTCACAAGAGAAAACATTTCGAAGACCAGAACCCGCTGGGACTTTTTTTTTCTAGATACTTTTCTAGATCAGTTCAAGATCTGGAACAGCGCAGGAACACAGAGGGGGCTCAGAAGATGACTCATATCTAAACCTCAACGCTAGATTAATTTACAAATAAAGTCCAGCCTTGTCTCTGTTTGTTTTTTTTAAGGAGATTCTTCTGCAGCTGAAAATGTGTTGATTCGGTTTACTTCCCTCCATTTTCTAACTGCTTTGTGAAATACGGGCTGACGGGGGAGCCGGAGCCTGTCCTGGCAAGCAATGGGCACAAGGCAGGGTACACCTTGGACAGGACACCAGTTCCCATTTCATTCCATTCAGCTCTAAGTTTGTCTGGTTTCACAATGAAATTATGTTTAAAAAGACTGTCAACTAATGCCTGTCAGAATTAAAGCAATCAGAAAGCTTCACATTGTAACAGAACTGCTGGAGTACTGAAATCCGTGTAGATATCGTCAAGGGATCCACTTGTGGTAGCACAGATTCTCCTTGACCAAATTAGCCTTCTATATTTGAATTACACACCTTGATTAAAAAAGGACATAAATAAGTCATTTACTGTAAAATGTTTCAAATTGAATTTGCAGGAGAAAAGAAAAAAGAAAAAGGATAATTGACAACTTTCAAAAATAATGTGCCATTATTAATGACTTTCACCTTGTGCAAATGTCAGTAGTGCACAGAGAGGACAGAAGAAATTTCACAGTTGATGGCAGGAAGTGTCTCTTTATATTTCCTATTGGTTCATAAGAAACTGGATCATTTCTTTAACACTTCTGGTGTGTATATACTCTTCCAATTTTGTTCTTCCCAGATCAGAAAGCCTTATTTTTCCAGCACTAGTGCTGTCTTGAATAATAACACTTGCCCCGTTTTCCAGGGACACCCACACAGTTTCCTCGATTGATCTTCCTCTATCACAGGCAGTGAAGACAAGCAGCTACTGCGAAGGAATCATTTCACACTGTAGACAATTCAATGTGCAGCAAAGCAGCGGGCTTTGGGATTTCAGCATATCTGCACGTTTCTCTGTCATACTGCTCAGTTCCACCTCTTTCATGCTAATGAGAGCACATGTGAGGCAGGCCCATCTTTACTGAATTGAAATTAATTTAATTACAACTGAGCTGAGCCTATTCCACCCTTCTGAATGAAGTCAAATGGAGCATTGAGCTATTTACAGGATAATTGTAGCTGCTGAAGAGCTGTTTTAACAGTGCTTGGAGGGCACTAGAGTTTTATATTCTCTCCCTTTCTAAAGGCAAGAGCTCCAAAATCCAGCAACATAATCACAGGCCATATTTTTGCATTTATGAAAAATTGATTCCAATTAATTTTATTACTCACCAATCAAAACTTGTAAAACATTGTTCTACCTAATACTTGCAGGCAGTAACAGAAGATTCATATTAAAAACTCACAATTATGGTTAGTTTGGCAGGGAGTAATACATGACATTTTTAAGCCTTCTTCCTAATCAACACGAGCTTCCCTACAGAATACTCTTTTAATGTTAGCAAGCAAAAGCCAAACTTCTTACCTGCCAGTCAAAGAAGTGTGAATAGTTCTAGTCTTATTCTTCGCTCCCGAGTGCAGTACACCTCTGTATAAGCAGTGCTCTTTATCGTCCTGCACTTGGCTTAGGAAAGGAGTTTTGAACGTCTGACTAAAAACCCCCAGAACTCTCCCTCTTCACCTTTGCTCTGTCTCTCAGTGTATTGCAAGTCGATGTAACGCCTGTCTGTTTTTTTTCTGTGCTGTATGTTTGTTACTCCTTTTCAGGCAAAGTTCAGAGCATATCAAGCGAGTTTAGTTAAAGCACCACACCCTCCCACCAGAGACTGCGCGAGTGAGAGACCCACTGAGAGAAAACACTGGCAAACGTCTGAAAAGAAAGATAAACTAGACCTAGAAACTTGGGTATTCGCAAGATGAGCAACAACATGGAAGATTTCAGCCCGGAGAATACATAACGCAAAACCATTAAAAACTTGATTATCCTAGAAAGGTTCCGCAATGAGTTCTCTTGTTGGTTTAGTAAGCCTCTAGCTACCGCACTCACGATTAGTGACGTGCTCCTTCCCTTGCATGAGTTTATTGTGGGATTAAAGTAGCCTATGCTGGAATTACACGTGATAAATGACACATCTGGAAAAGTGGCAAGTTGGCAAAACACGTTTGGCTTGAGAGAAAGGATGCTAGCGTTAAATAATATAAATAAGGCAGTCCCTGCATCGCTCCGAAGCCTTTGGCGCCACCTCGTGGTAAATGATAAAATAATAATCTCTAAGTACAAATTGGCAGTATTTGGAAACCTTATTAGTTCATTATGAAACAAACATAGATAATTCAGGGCATTTTAGTAACACTAGCACTTACCTTAGAATATGTATATTTTCTTCGTTGTATTTTTATATGAACATTTATACCTGCATATGTAGTATACTGAGAAAAACCGTGATGACATTTATCCACTGCTCACAAGGACACCAGGGTCTTTGACCAATGAACAGCACTCTCCAGGGATTAGGAATAATGTCTTTCTCCTCAAAGATGCTCATAGGTTTCTGGAGGTTACTGTCAACCTATGGAGCCACGGGGATAAAACATTATGAGCTTTAGTCTCCTAGGACTGAAATTGTGCAGTGCAGGACAAAACGATTGCATGACATTGCTCCTGTTGATTTGAAGATCCTTGGTCAGTGGTAAGGATTTTGAAGGTGTGTGCATCAGATGAAACAGTGCACTGGGGATTTAACCCTGTAGAGAGAGATGCAAAGAGAGAGATCTCTCTTGTTTATGAGAGATTATTAAATTCCGAGGCATAAGAAAAGAACGTCTGAGAGGCAATTTGAGTAATCAGGGGTTCTCACTATATAACCAGTTACAATTCAGCAGATCACTCCCTTGAAGGTAAAGGTCTGAACAGTTTGCTTCACAGTCCACAAGTTCTTTTTAGTTTCCCCAAGACTGTCTTATCTATTTTAAGGACTGTTTTGAGGACAGAGACGGAATGAACAGAAAAATTGAGTAATCAATTTCTGTCTTGGAAATTACTGAAAAACAACATAATCCTCATAAACCAGGAAAGACATTTTGAAAACCAAGAAATGTCCGTGATGTTAAAAAGGAAGATAATAAATTGTTTGCTTTTTTATCTTGATGACATTAACTGAAGTTTCACCTCTAATACTGGCAGATTAAAAGGTATTTTACAGTCATATTTTTGCAGTGCGTTAAACAGGAAGGCGAGGAGGGCTCTGGGTCCTTGTTAATGAAGTGTGTGATGGAGATGAATATTAGTGTGATGTAGGGTTCTGTGCTCTGACTGCCCGTCAGTGGCCATGTGTGTGAACACTTGAGTGTGTGTAGGTGGTGGTGGGATGTGTGTGTGTAGGGGGGTGCTCAATACCACCCGGTCTCCCAGGCAACAGGGGGTCAGGGAAAGCCCACAACAAGCAAGTAGAAATCTGAGGAGCAGGAACGGGAAAGAGGGAGAATCGTTAAAAATCTGTTGTGGTTCCATGACCAGATGTACCAAAGGATTTCAGACAGAGTGTGTGTTACAAAATTTCAATACCCTTCCAAGTCAGCGTAGGTAGTGGGATGAACAATAAGCACTTTCTGTAGTGGAGTTTGTGGAACTTTCAGTGGAAGAAAAGCACATTTCTGGGAAAAAAATTGAACAGAAATGGTAGAATTATTGTGCCGGATATTTGCTTCACTTATTTTTCTTTTAATAGCCACCTTTCTAATATGCTGTAGCGGACAGCCATGCACTGAAAAAAGGACAAATAAAAAATACCAGATAACCTCACCACAAATGTGAAAACATAAATACATAAATATGCTTCAGAATAAATTGGAAAATTTCCCCAGTTCTTTAATTTCACTCACCTCGTCTCTCCTGCCTCTACTGCTGTTAATACACATCCTGTTAAGTGCATTTTACTGAGAGACAGACAGGACTAGTCACATCCACAAAAAGATAATAATAAAGATAATAATAAGAGAATTATTAGAGTGTGTTGTGTGGATTACAATGTACACATATGCCTCCGCTATTCATTTGCAAAACAAAGTCTACTGTGCTACACTGTTTCTGTGCTCTTGTTTTTTGCTATTACAGTGTGTGAAAAGATGATAATCACTTCATTTCACACCTATCAAGCAGACAATTTAATCAAACTTTTTTTTTAAATCATATTCATTTTTTGCGTGCAATTTGGAGATGATCAAATGGGTCCAAAGTTTATATTAAGGTCACTTCATTCTCTAAGCAACTTTACAAGACCAGCTGACTTTATAATCAAGAGCAGAAATCAGTGCCTGAATTTATATTGTTCAAATGCCCCCACATTAGGTTTCTCACCTTTAAGACGGTGTCATAGTTCTGGAGATGACCAGATTTCAGTTTAGATTTCTCTATTTTTGTTATGCTCACTGTTATGTGTTTTTCCAATCACAACCCAAAGCTACAAACCCAGCGACCTGTCTCAGGGGAGAATGAGAAACCGCAGGCAGACTCCTTTGAGTCACACGGCACCACTACCCAGCTCCATGCCAGAGATTTAGTGCCAATCAGAGGGCAGCCTCGTCCTCCAGTGACCTCATCATATATCTGCCAATCCCCAGGAAGCTGCAGGGGGTGCCGTGTTGCTCAGAGCTGAGACAGTCCCGGCCAGCTCATCCTACCATCCCCTCGGCGATGCTCAGATAATTAGGTACCACTATCTTGGGTAGGGAGATGGCACAGACTTGAACCCGTAATCACAGAACTTGACATGCTCTCAGATAAGCTTCTTTACCTGTTGAGCCACACTGGAAACTCCCACAAAATTACTTTCCCACTGAAGGTACAGCTTTTGGCATAAATATTGACAATCATTTGTATCCTAATATCACACAAAATGATCGCTCAGGCAACATGACTGGAAAATATGTATAGTTTAACCAATGATATTCACTTATTGCATTTACTAGAGTAGAAACAGCATGCCGGTACTTAGGGTTGAAGGTACGACCCCCATGGACTCATTTTAGTGTTTTAAATGTTATAAACAGTGACAGTTAAAAATTGCTTATCTAACACCACTGGTCTAAGGTAAACTGAGAGTGATAACATGGTTTACGATCGGACAGCAGGAAGTTAGTCTTGTACTCACCTTTTCAAGTTGGGGGGCCGTTACACCAAGGGTCTGAGTTCAGTTTTCCATGGGGTTTTTTTTTGCCCAGGATGACAGGGCACTGGTACGTAAACCTTGGGAAAAATTTATTCCAATCGTAATGATGGTGCTGGCCTGGCACTGCTGTTTGGATCTCTCACCGTCTGTACCTTCCCTCTTGTCAGTGCCCACGGTTCAGGAGGTATTAGCGGGCTCAGTGGGTGCCCAACAGACAATGTCAGAGTGGCATGATCAAGTCCCCTGTTTATTTCCGGCCTCACCACACGCTTGCTGAGCACAGAGGAATTTTGCTGGAATGCTGCTGACGGTCAGCAAGCTGCTCAGACAGAGCAAACAGCCCCAGCCGTCCCCTCTGTGGCATTGTGAGACTAGGCTTTGTGTTGCCTGTGGATGCTGGCCCTGAATGAGGTAGGCCTTTAAGGAATCATCTCGATCGTCCTCATTCCCCTGTGGCACTGGGGTCATTCCCCTTCAGAGGAACCGAGGGCCAGCTTGGCATTTTAAGAACACAGGATCAATGATGATAAGGATAAGATTTGAGGATGCAAAGCGCCATTCTAAGATGATGAAATGCCTAAAGAAAACCTTGGAGTCGCACAGAAAATGCACCATTTTCCACTGTTGGGAGTGCTCCAGGAGGCTTGACACCCCAGTTGTAAAATAGGAAGAATAGATCTCAGTGGAAATGCAGCTGCCAGATTTTGTGTCAGAGTTTTATTAAGCAAAGACACTGTTGGGATACTATTTGCCGATGTGATTTCCTGTCCCTTCATTGCTCGAAGGCATTACTTTCATCAAAAAGTGAAACCATGACCCCTTTCTCAGACTATGTCCAACATTCACAGTTCACCAAGACAAAGAGGAAGGTTGTGCTGGTGAAAAAAGCTGCAAAACGCCTAATTGTGAAACATTCTTTACATAAGCGTAAGACATAGCATTTTTCTGATGAGAAGGATTAAAAAACCTTGAAAAACTGTCATCTTCAGAAAGCCAGAGATCACAGAGATTTCTTAGAGCTCCTAGATGCCCAGGAGTAGGTGGGGTGTCAGAAAAGACGACAGCTACACTGCCCAGGAAATTTGGTCTGAATTTCTTTATTTGAATATGTAAAAACAGAGACATAACATTGCTTACAGCACATCTCACTTTTTTTTTGTTTGGAACACTTTCCAGATCACTTTCCAGTTTCGTGAGCTTTCATTTTTTATAACCTTCACAACAAACAAAGCGGTAGAAGTAGCAGTCGCAACAGTAGTAGGATTACTGTAGTAGCAGTTGCGGTAATAATCAAAGTGTTCGACACTGGTGGGAAGTAAGAAAAGTGGAGTGACCCAGTGAAGAGAGAGAGAGAGAAAGCTTATTACTTTTTCAAGGAGGATATATCAAAAAACATGCACACTTCTACAAAATGTACAAGTCCAGTTTGACCAGACAACAAGGCATTGGGGCTATATCAGTTAGCATACTGCCTACTGGTTGTGGAATGTTTCTGCTGGACAGCTGCAGGAGTACCTTGGAGCAATCTTTTGAGGTAAAAAGAAAGAGGAGTACTTTATTAATACAGTCTAGGTTGAGATCACCAAGAATTTGTATTTTTCTTGGCAGAATTAGAAGATAATCAGACATCTGGAGAAACTGAAATATGGCCTTCTGTGATGATGAGAATCCCTGAATTAATTTGATAAATACTGACACCAGTACAGTCAGTACACAGTTAACAGGGCATGTGTAAGACCGATACAATATATCGACATTATGGGCAATACAGGGCCTTAGGCTGAACAAGCAGCCTTTTACCTCTAAGTAGTACAATATGTATTAGTCACATACAGACAACCTGCAGGGTCTTATCTTGACAGATCAAACAATACATATAAAAATACATACAACCGATTTTAAGAACTGAAAGATGTTTTTATTTTTATTTAAATATCCTAACACCTATACAATGAGGAAATGTAGACCCCTGTGACACTCATACTGTACACTGGGCTACTTAACCTGTGACCCTCCAGTCTACTTCCTTGTCACCCTACGACAGCCGTCCTCAGTTTTGTAACAGTATATCCACAGGGAGATTGCACGATCAATACTGAAGAAACCTGACGTGATGTGGGTCATTCCTGACCTGTCTTGAGTGCCTTTTAAACTGTATTTGACTTGTTAGAAATAACAAAAAGGTGGGGATAACATCAGAAACAGCCATTGTGCCTTGTGTATATGCAACGGTCACTTCTAAATATGCCATTCGTGGTCATAACATAGGGTGACCAGAGATGTACTTATACTATTAAACCTACCGTAAAATTGCATGGATTCAGAATGAGAGATACTCTTTGTATGTGTCTTCTTTGGCATTCTCTGGAAATGGCCTTTTTCATCACAAATTAAAACATCTCAAATCTTCTCTGAACTGTGAAGAGACTCCTTTCATCTCTACAATATAACAAGGTGCAATAGAGGGCACTGGAGAGGCTGCATGTTGAGTAGCCCTATGATAGCATGCCTGTATATTGGGTATAGTGTATATTGACATCCTGTCAGGCCTTATTGCATTCACAAATAAGACATATTCCAAAGCATGCCCTTAACTCCTTTTCAGCTTTTTCTGCCTTCTGACTTTTCGGAACTGTAGCTATTCCTAAGCTAGTTCCTCTCTAACAGCTCGCATTTTGAAGCAGTGCTGGTTCAAATGGACAATGCTGGGGATTACCTGGGCAGAGCCTATGGACAGCATGCCTGAAAAAGTGAGAGCTGCTTGCCAATCTGTTCTTTTGTGTAGGGTAAAATCTTCAACAGTATTTAATTAAGGCACTGAAAAAAGAGCCTGGCTCCTTCGCTACCAACCATATGAGAACAAGAGATTCAGGAGACATCTCCTGTAAGTGGGGGTCTTAAGAAAGGGGCTGAAGCCGGAGCCATGAAGGACAGAGGACACATTACGGAGGTCACAATTTATAGAAACTCCAAGAATGACCCTGATGAGTGAGCCAGTCAGATGAGTAGATCATGCAATGGGTCCAAAACCAGCAGGAGGAAATCATAGGCCCTGATATGGGAAATAACGTAGATTATGCAGGCTAGACAGAGTCAAAGGTGCAAAACTGCGAATAAACTGAACTTGAAGGCTTTCTGCAACCCTTGTGAAAGACCTGCTGTCAAAGCAAAGTTGTCATGCGAATTGGAAATCACAGGAGGAATGAAAGCTGTGACAATGTTTTCTCCCTGCTGGAACATACAGCAGAGGCCATTCAGGACCCTTTGTAAGGAGCCATTCAGGGAAATTCAGTTTCTTTTCTCTGTCTTTCCATAGAGTCACCCGAAGTGCCTTCTGCTATAAAATCAAGAAAAAAGGCAAGGGAGTGTGAGGGGCTTTGCATTAGAGTGCTATAATAAACCCGCAGAGAGGAGAGACCAACAGCCCCATCAGGGGCAAAACACTGTTTTTTTCTTCACAACACAGTACAACAGTAAAACAATACACCTTCAAACCAGGACCAGGTCCAGTGGTTTCCAACTTTCTAGTTTTTAGCCTCTGATTTATAACATACAAACCTATTTTGACTCAACCACGGGCTGGGTTATTTTTGGACAAAAGCTTTTTTAGACAATGGAACCCCATAGGAAGTGCTGGGTTTTGTATTCTGCAATGGGCCAGTGGATTTTGATTCAATCCCGTCTCAGGTCAGGTTGAAATTTCGACTGTACTGTACGTCATTATGGAACGTTTCTGGTTAAGAACATAAAGCCAGTGAAAGAGAAGAGGATATTTGCCCCCTTTTTCTCTTGCTCGGAAAGTTTGCTCAAGATTTTTTTCCCCAAGTGTTGGCTCTGTTTTCATCCAGATTTTCCACATCTGGCATTATTAAACATATAAAGCGCTAAAAGCCTGAAAAAAGTTTCCTCAAAGTATCTTGAAAGTTTTGGGATTGTGAGAAGCAATAAAAGCAGCGCCCTTACTAAATGATTTAAGACAAGAGAGACTCTTCAAGGCTCAGTGTGAGTGTAATGGAGGAACGCTGGAGCTACACCAGTGATATCTCACCTCCTTCTCATACTGGTGACCTACAGCCTGGAAGAGATGTACTTCTCATCTGATGGGCAATTATGTTACATGTCCAATTGGCTCCTTAATTAAAGAAACACATAAATTAGTCAGTAGGAGTCAGTGTCTTTATCACATACTGCAGTCATTTTTTTTTAGCTCCCTGAATGGTTAATTGCACCCGAGGGGTGAATAAAAGCTGGATGTATCAGTTGATTAGAAATGATCACATCATGTGAGCTTTAACAGGTCCTTTCCATTACGATGAAAGAGGTTCCAGTATTTCTATTACCATGAGTGCAATTTCACTAATGGCCTGAGAAGAGCTGCTTGAAGCACACAGAAGGTGCTGTGAAACAGTGGCTGTTTACAATCGTACACTGTAAATCCATACAAATGTATTGAAAACCGTGGGGGGGGGGGGCGCTCTTTTCTATCCCTATCAAATTGTGCTGCTGGCATCTCTTGGGCGATGAGGCAGGCATCGTTTGAAATTCTAGAAATTCAACAGATTTTCTTTGCAGGTTTTTCTTCCTTCACACATTATCCATCTGAGGAATTACAACCTAAAGTCTCTCCCCATGCAAATCCTGAGTTTTACTGCGGGTATCTGAAGCTCCACTCATTTTGATCATAGAAGCTTCAGAAAACTCCTGACATCCACACCTTACTGGACCTCCTACCACCAGATTTCATTGACACTGTTGGACCCTGCTGTTCAGTTAGCACCTGCGGATAACAGTAACCTGTTTCATGAGATTAAGATTTCTAAGGGGAGGTACAGTGGGGCTATATATAGGGCTACTAAATTGTAGAGGACCAGCAGAGAAAACTAAAACCAGATCACTAGGGATTAGGGGGAAAGCAAGTGTTTTTACATCCCCACATTGTCAGGGATAAAATGTCATAATAAAATAAATTCAAAATAACTGAATGCTCAGGCACCTGATACTAAAAGGGGAAAGAATTGCTATGGTGCTGCAGATGAAGACAGACTTTATGACTGCGCTTTATGATGAGTTGCAATTGCAATTGCAGATATTTGCTGAGCCAAAAGGAATTTAATTGTAAACTCAAACGAGTCTGGAGATGATGAGGGCGGCTTCACCAATCGGCAAATTTATCACAATGATGAATACCTCATTTTACAGTCGAGTCTGACTTGCTTATTTGACACTGGGCCAGAACTACATCTTAGAAGAAATAGAGCTCCTAGCTCAGCTAAAATCATGTCACATTTAGTTTGTATTCTGCCATTTTCAACCCAGGGTCACCTTTTCTTCTACTCTGCTACGTTCGTACAACACTCAAGATGTCTGGTTGTGTTTCACCGTGAAAGTAAAAGCTCTAAACAAGAGTAATTGCTGGGCTAGGCACGGTATTATTCTCAGATCCATCAACACTTTCACCCAGCTCTTTGTTTCTATGTCATTAGGGCAAAAGCAGTCAAGTAATTACAAGGTCACCCTCAACTGCTAACACAGGGGTCACTAAAGGCTGTGGAGAGGCCGACCCACAGAAGTGTCTGAATTTCCCTGCTGTCAGTCTGAACATAAATATGAATCAAAAGAAAGACCTGGCCATTTGATTTTTCTACCTTAGCATCCCATGGCAATCTAAAATACAAGGCAATCTGTGCTTGAGGGGAATGCAGCCAGCTGCAAAGTGAAGTCTTTCATTACCCTGTTGGCTCGTTGAGACGATCCCAATTTCTGTGGTGTTAGAAGAAAACAGAGTTCAAGACTCTTTCAAGAAAAGAAACGAGACTGATCCCCCAGAAACACTGATACGCACTTGCAGAACTGGGCATGTGGGGTGTTTGGGGGATCCTAAGTTCCTTGCTTAGGAGTACAACAGCAGTGTCCAGAGTTAGGAACTTGACTTATATTGGGTCTTCACCAATCCCCAGCGTTTGTCTTATAACTGTCTAGAAGTTCCAGACACCTAGACAAGAGTTAGGGTGTTGGGGAGTTAGGTTTTTGTTAATAGAATGACGATTTGCATAGTTTCCTGTTGAAAAAGTGAGGGAGCTTTTTCTCCAAAGAACGCGACCTGAGACGTTCTTGCTTTTGAAAGAAGAGGAGCCCCAGATTGCTTAATTGAGCCCAGCTCTTGCCACATTGAAGATGCAGAACATGAGTTTCTGCATTGGAATCTGTCTCATTAAGACCAGTGCCATCCTGCTTTCTACATTATTCTCAATAAATACACCCTGTTAAATTGGCTTTAGATCAACTTCTGGTTTCAGAAAGGTGACAGAAATAATCTGGATTGTAACGTCACTGCTCCTTGCACACAAGGCCTGCAAGTTTTTAGAAGTGGGAAATCCAATCTAATCCACTCACTGCATGAGAATCTGTCACACGTCCTCAGAGAGACAGTCTCACTTACAGTACATGACCAAAAGCTGATCCTTACTCGTTTCTTCAACAAATAAACACTGTCCAGTTGGTCAGTCTGTAAGTAAAATACATGCTGCTATATTTGTAACATGCCATTTGTTTTTCTTACGAAGATGCAGTGCAGGTACTGTAAGAGATATGAGATGAGTGCTACGCACAAAGATTGTTCAGTCTCATAGAGGAATGTGAAGCTGCAGATTAGCTGAGTTCAGCAATTAGAGGCTGCAATTCTGAAGACGATTTTAAACTAAACACTGTATTGTTATTGGTATTCTCCATGGGGGAGAAAAGGTATCAGAAAGGTGCATAACAATGGGAATTTCTTGTTACAAAATAGGTAGCCCTGTCTGTCATTATTTGCTGAAAGACCTTCTGAATGTATTGGCTCATTTTATGAACGGCAGGGATTTCTTTAATCAGGTTTCTTAAACTGAGCTAAAACATTTCTTGTTGCTTTGCTATTTAGTTGTCACAGGTGGAGGATTGTCTCCTGAATACATATCGACAACCACAATTGTTGAAAATTGTTTCCATCCTGATCATCAAAACAAGTTACATTTATTTCTGATGTAACGCACAGTTTCTTAAGTACATGCTCTGGATAGCTCAGACATGTTTCTTAAACACATACTGAAAAGGCCACAGAACATTTTTATTTAAAAAAAAAAGTTTAAATTTTGCTCCTAATTTCCAGCAAATAAAAATCAAGCTTCCAAATCTAGCAAAATAACTGAAAGAAAAAAGTAACAGCAGAAACAAATAAATGATACATTTACGCAGAGCACACAGCTTTATCTAACAGCAAAAATGGAAATATAAAAAAATGAAGAAAATTTGCATCTGGCCAATTATTCCATGTGAATGTGAAGATGTTACTTGCACTGTCCTGCTCTGCTTTAGTTCTTACATATTAAAAAGATGCTTCAGAGCTGTACAGGTTAAAAGACTTCATAATACCGCTAATCACAGACTTCATTGTGGTTCAGGTTGATTTGCAATATGTTTGTAAAAATGGGGTAGGTGGTATAGTCCTTGATCTTTAAGCTTGCTCTGATCAGCACCAGATACTAATAGCTGTGATCCGATCTTGGCTGAACAGAGGAATAGACAGTGGTAACTTCAACCTTCACTGTGAGTTAACTAAATGTTCCCCAATACATGAGCACGATTCCTCACATGGAGGAGTGAGAACTGCACAAGTTACAAAACAACACTCCCCACAATTACAAGTAAAGTACAATACAAAATCAAATGGTAACACTTGAGTAACAAGATCATGGCATCATTTTTAAAAATCAATACTCTATCGTATCAGTTCTCTGGGGAATTTATATATAAGAAAATTCAATAAATCATGAATTTTTAAGTGTTTTTGTTTGGATGTGTAACCAGTACAGATTGTCTGTCTTACTCTTAGAATGTTTTTAACATAACCTATTGTTCTTTTTAAGCAGGGATCAATGCTTCATTGATGCACATCCATCAAAATACAGTGTAGCGGCCTTGTTTAAAAAAAATACATCAACCTATATCCATTTATCTTCCTAGGATCCCATTAATCTTCAAGGGATCAAGGCCAGTGGAATGAATCAAGTCAAGCAAGACTACTCCCTTCATAACATTTGTTTCATTAGCCTTCAGTATCTGAAAGAGGGGTATACAATTCATTCAACATTATTATATTACTAACAATAATAAGATGAAAAAATGGGCATTTTAATCTGTTCTAGACGGTAAAAGGTACAGCAAAGTGAAGTGATGGACTTTAAGCATTTTCTACTGCAATGTCTTGAGAGTTTTTTTTCCTAAAGACAGACAATAGGACATTGTACCTGTCTAGCATTTCTATTTTAATTCCAATTTTGCTGGAAAGGATCTTTATAAAAATGTCCTTTTTAAGTGAAAAAGGTTTCAAGGTTTGAGGCTGTTTTATTCTTCCAGTGCAATTCTCGTGATTCCCAGCTTGTCCCTTGCCTCTAACTCTGTAACCTGCTTCCTCTGATAATAACCCAGCCTCACGTTATCTCCCACTTTCTGGGCGATAACCTAACTTCATAACCTAACTTTCGCTTTTGGAAACAACAGATAGGTTTCCAGTCACTCTCTTGTCCCAGATCGCATCGGGAATTGTCGTTTTTAAAAGGGGGGTTGGAGTTGTGACCTCTCCACCTCGCCACGATTGTGTTAAAAACCGCTCAACGCGGCGCAGATGGGACACCTCACGTGTTGTTATCTGTACAAGCAGTGACCAAAGGAGCGAACAGATTAAAAAAAACGAATAAATATATCTTTTAAAAATAAACGACTTTTCATTTAGATAAATATTTATCGGAGTCCTTCATTCAGGAAGAGCAAAAACTACAAAATTCAAACGCGTGTGGGAGAGTGTTGTACGCACGTCCGTTCATCCATCCCGGATATTACTCGGTGCCGAGCCCATGACAGCAGATCACACGAACCCCCCCCACCCAAAAAAAAAGGTTAAAAAATCAGAACGTTTACATGGGGAAAAAAAAGGGAACCGTCGCTCAAAAGATACAGAACAGAATGATATTTTTTGTGGTTATTTTTTTACTTGAAAAGTCAGGTCGCCCTTCGAGAGGACAGGCTCACATGACGGAGCAGCACTTGCAGGGCTGCTTCTCCTTTGAGTTCACCTCTCCTGTGCTGGCCTCCCCCTCGGTCTTCTCCGCAGCTTCCTGGTTCTTTGGGGGCTCTGCGGTGCTGCCGTTAGGGGGCGCCTGGTCTTCCTTGACCGCCCCCGCGCCCCCTTTGCTCTCCCCGTCCTCGATGACCACCAGCTCGGCCTTGACCGTGCCCTCCAGCCCCAGCACCTTCTTGGTCTCAGCCTCGTCCTCCACGCTCTGGTACCCCATGAACACCATGGTGACCGGGCCCTCCACGCCGGTGTCCCCTCCTGCGTTCTGGGGGCTGGCGGTGGGCTTGGTTTCAATGCCGGTGATCTCTTTCTTGGGGGTCTGCGCCTGCTCCTGGCCCTGGGCTGGCGTCGGCCTCTTCGGGGTCCCCTCGCTCACGGAGGCCTCGTCGGCCTTGTGGATCAGCTCGTCCACCTCCGAGGAGCTCAGGAGCCGAACCCCGTTCTCCTGGGCTCCATCTGCCCCACGCACCTCGTGGACCACTGGGAAGGAGACGAGAGGACACGTGCAGTGTGGGCTAGGGGCCAAGACAGGAACCCCTGCTGGGCTTTGAGATTCATTAGAAAATATTTAAAGACCCCAACCTTAACCAAGGCTAAAATTTAGGCTAAATCTACCTGACTATATAGCAGTGGTCCTTGCATTCACAAAACCACCAGAAGCTCTACCAGCACTAAATGAAGTAGTTCAGGTGGGTAGCTGCGTCAGCATGCATAGGCTGCAAAGGAACAAGTAAGAGGTTTATTCCATGCTGAAAAGAGAAGAAAACACAACGTTTCGGTTAAAAAACACAACGTTTTGGCGGTGGAGCCTTCTTGGCTCCACGGCCGAAACGTTACGTTTTCTTTCTTCTCTTTTCAGCATGGAATAAACCTATTACTTGTTCCTAAATGAAGACCTCCTAGTTGGTGCATCTGGTGGAGTTACATACATTTAGAGAGCACACACCACCCATCACTGCCTCCACCCCTTGAAAAACCACAATGGACACATGCTGGGGTGCTCGATCTTCACCATGCTCTGAAAGGTGACTCAAGACATAAGCTCTGTGAAAGACAAAGGACAGCCTTCTCAGTAACTAAAAGCTCTAATTATCCCGGTGGACATATCTCATCTTGGATATTGTACCTCAAGATTTAATCCAAGAAGGCTCACCACATCCATTACTATACCGTAATGGCAGTAAGGAAGTGCAAATCACATTGAGCTACAGACATGCACGACAAGCAGAAAGAGACCAAAGCAACTCTTAAAGCACAGGAACAGCAGGGCAAAACACAGGCCTCCAGCATTGCTCTTGGAAATGTTTGTTAATGGGATTTCTTGCAAGATTACCCTTGGGAACACACATAGAAATGCAGTGAACAACATTTGTCAGGTCAGGGATCTTAAACATCTGTAAGCTTACTGAAGTCTTGGTGATTCTCTGTGGCTGCCTTTAGACCAGACAGCAGAATTACCACAGATCACTCAGCTTCCCCCTAAAAGCCATATCGTTAGCTATCATTTACTGTTTTGACATATCATTGATTAAACCTCAATTTTATTTTCCATTTTTTAAAGACCACAAGGTGATTTAAGATATCCTGATGTTCGATTCCCCTCTAATTCTGAAATAACTTATTTTAAACCAGCCCTGATATTTAGATAAGAAATATGATAGGAGAGATTTTATTTCTACATTTTTTTCTGCTATCATGTTAAGTTTTCTCTGATTTTATTTCCTCTAAACTAACATTCAGGATCCTCAGCTTCACATCCCAGGTACTGAACCCAGTGGACCAGGACTCTGTCATGGTTCTGCACGGTGGGGGTTAATTCCTATTGAATGGTGGTCGGACAGAGTGCTTTGCGGCACAGATGAAACACAATAGCTTAATTGGTTTATGAAACACTGGTAGAGAATAAGTTGTGGATTCAATGACATTAGCAGCAGTGTAGTATTTCATGTATTTATATAGACCAAGATAGGTTAAAATGATCAACTGGACAGTATATACGATAAGCATGATGTTTATATTTTTTGTAGACGCGGAACACGCAGACCTACTGTATTACCACTCTTCTCTCACTGAGGGCTCAGTTAAAGTTTCGTGGAGCTCTTCTTGAAAACGGTGTTTATTAGAAAGCATTATGTAGAGCCCCGTTGTGCTCTGCTTATTTCACACACACTAGGACTCTGCACTGGCAACTTGTGAATTAGCCAGAATTAATGTCTTTAACTTATTTAGCCGATGTTTTTATTAACAGCATGTCGATTTTTTTACCTACATATGGTGATATCTATTTTTCCAGCATAGTTTTCTGGGGCACAGCACCTACTGTAGCTTGTCTCCCCATCTGGGATTTGAACCCATGACCCCTCTGGTCAGTAGTACAGAGTACAGAGTACTGCATTTTGTCCTGCCTACCCCATTATATGTTATACAGTCTACATGTTATATATAAACGCACAAAACACTCAAAAGTGTCTTCCAAACTAAAGAGAGACTAACAGTTTCTATTTTAACAAGCATTTCTAATAACACTCACAATCAGGTGCAGTAGGTTTTTATACCATCCAAAAGCATCCATATACTGTATATATGCAATATGACAGTATATTGACCAGGATCAGCATTTGCTCATGAAACAGGATTCTGCACAGGTAAGCGTGAAGCCAGCTGCCTGGCAGGGGTGGCTGGGCATCAGGAGGGATCTAGGAGAGGGACGTGTCTGGCACATTCCTTTCTGGAAGGCTTTATCCTTGGCAGAGCTCTCCCAGAAAGAGTATAGGGAAGTGGGGGTGAAGGAATCATGCCTGTAATCTGCAGAGAGCTTTGCTACAGGGTGACCAAGTGACACATTTCTGCAAAAGGCACTATAGTCTGTTTCAGCTGCACCTTGCACCTATGAGATCATGTGGTGGATGAGTGACACCCTGAAGCAGTTCCAATTAAAATACCCTTACGTAACCTCCTGGTGCTCATGGAGGTTTCATTTGGCTGCTGACGTGCAAAGTGAAGGGGAAACAGTGCAGTACCTCACCTTTCTCTACAATACTTTCACACACTGTTTCATCATTAACGGCTCAAGGGCTTCAAGCATGTGGTATAACAGATATGTGAAAGCTGGTCTCATCAGAGCTACTGTTAGACTTTCGCTTTACTGCAGTCGTTTATTCAGTTTGCTATTGTTGGTCACCCTGCTAAAATGTGCCATGCTGGGCTAAAGTTTTTTTTTGCACTTTACGAGAAGTGACCCAGTTACAAAAACACTTTTATTGTTTGTATTAGAGTCAGTTTTCTGAAAAGCCCTCATCTAGTGCCTATGGCACAGCAACACGTTTGTTTCAGGGGTCCATATCTGACCATTAAGTAACACTCCTCCAATTGATTGGAACTCTTTTCTATATTTACGTCAGGGGACTGTGAGCACAGTGCCAGTGAGATGTTAACTCAGTGACAGCTGTCCAGTAATTTCTCTTCAGAAGTCACTGAGTGAATTCTAGTTGAGATGTGAACACTTGACAGTCTCAGATTCTCTTCCCCATCTTGATTTTGATAAAAAATAAGTTTACAGCAAGTGGGCAGCAATAGTACACAAATACAAATGACTATTTAATACAACCCAGGGTTAAAACCTGAATGAATTTGACACTTTTTGACCATTTATTTTCAGCATTTTTTTCCTTTGCTTTCAGGTCTTATTGCATTTATCGTGACTTTGTATTAAGTGTAATTATTAATTAGAAAAGAACACTTTTGAAGAAACTGCTCAAAGACCCACAGCCAGAAAAAAAGCTGTAAACCACAGGATTCAGCCATCAATGGGCATCAGCAGTTCCAGCACTGTACTATAAATTCCTCTTCCAGAATTTAATAGACACCTCTGTATTGGATAGATGCTTGCTTGAGCAGTGATTGAGCAAAGAACTTCAGCATATCTCAAGAGAAACTGCAACAGCACTGGTGTGCCACATCCACCCACATGGGTGAAGTGAAGATGTTATCTTGCCTCTATGTGACACTACCTAGCTTCTGATTGGTTGGTTTCCCATCACTTCTCGTTAAGTATAACCATCTTTGTTTTTTCCCGCATTAACTTTAAAGTCACCTTTCCGGTCATCCTCATAGACCTTGACCCCTTGGTGCAAGAGGTCTTTGGGCAGCAGAGTGTTGGTGGACAGCACTTTAGTCTCCCCTGTGAGTCTGTCCTTTTCAATGGTGATCTCTACTGAGTACATCGCTGGGACCAATGAGAGGAAATGTTAGGGTCACAGGCTCGCTCTCATTCACCTCCACATACACTTGCCTAAGGACCATTTTGCAGGTTGGGGAAAAAAAACTTACTTTTGAATCTACTGTTGCTTAAGGTCATTAGGTTATAAGCTCAGCTGGGGGGGCATTTTGGGTGGTCCCAGTAAAGTGCTTATATAAACATTCTTAGAAAATCACCTGTCCAGCCACACATTCCCACAAAACTTATCCTTGTAAGGATCATGGCACAGGGTTCAAGGCGGGACTAATAAACCGCACAAAGTCAAACACAACTACACCAAAGTAGTGCACACCTTTAAATGATTTGGGGATTCTGACAAGCAAGTAAATTGGTTTGGTTTGTTTCCAAATATTTGCATTATGGAAAACAAATTTAAACCATTTCTAAACAAAAACAAGAGCTTGTCATTTCAGAGCTGAAGCACAACATCTCTTCCTAGAAGACCACGTGCCATAGAACAGTGATCTTAATATAAATCAGATCTTGAGCTGTGTGGAAAGCTAAGCCACTGCATGACTATCGTGCCAGTCTTGTGTGCTGCCTTCTGTGTTTGCTGTTGTGCTGTTTACACATTATCTCAATGTCACTGCTGCTTCTGCTGAAATATTCCAGCAGACTATGGAAGTTCTGGAAAGAAAGGCATTTCCTTGAGTAAACAAAGGCCAGGTTGAAATACACGAATGCTGGAGTTTAGCTCCCATTTTGAGAAGGTAACAAAGCTTCCAAATACCAAGAGCTAATCTGTAACAACTGGATGGGGTGTTTCCATTGTGGTCTTTCCTCATTAAGTGTTTTACAGTAAAGTAGGGAGTGGCTAATGTTTAGAAGCTCTTGGGTTCAAGACCTTTATACGCTAATTACAGCAACAGAAAAGCAACTTCCTTTTGTGGTGTTTGGCTGGAGCACCACTTTCTAATCCCAGCCCTTCCATTTTGAGTGTCTTTCAGTTTTCACCCCAACTGAGTTCTCAAGTTCTTAACTGAAACAATAACTTAATGACAGCTTAAACTGGTTTCTGGTCTTAAACATAGGCGTGATTTAAAGTTAGGTACCAAACTACATGGGAATTTGGAGAAATTATGTTTTCATAAAGCATCTTACTAGTTCAATTAAGAGTTTAAGTTATTGGTAACTTAGCTTGTACAAATTCCACTGGTGACCCAGGGACAAGATTGGTTTAAAGGCCAGTTCATCTTAGTCTCCCTCACTGCGCTACACTGCACATTTGCCTCTGACTGCAAAAGAGGCGGCTTTTCTAGGACAACAGTGTAATGGCCACCTACTCCCTGCCAAATTTTAATCTCCCAACAAGCCCCTGAAGTGAGCAGGCATTGGTGAAGTAGAGAAATGTGACTTTTAACATTCTCGCCTGCCTCTAAAATGCCATGCTGTACGAGCCTGCTGCTGCCAGAGCAACTGCAAACCTGCCAGCATACCAACAGCCAATTTTTCAACATGGCCATGCTGCCATGGCAACAGCAAATTTGCCTGTGTAGGAATATGGGGGATGGTTCTAAAAAAAGGTTATTACCCTGGGTTACTTAATATGCAAGTTCTGTAAGCACTAACATTCGGATTCCTGTATGAAAAACTACAGTGCTGCTACAAAACACTCTTACACAGACACGCATACACACAGACAACAGGATGGTGTTAACTGGAGACAAGCAGACAAGAAAAATGACAACATTAGACATGTTAAAGGCAAGACAAGAACCATTAGACTCAAATATCAACATTTTATGTCCCAAAAAGATGCTGAGGGGAAAAAGCATGCTGAAATGGGCATCGAGAAGTGCACATTGTAATGTATAAGAATACTGAACTAAAATTCACTCTTTCAGGAGCAACACCTTCAGCTCTGGTGCTACTCCTGCAAATGTCATTGAATTAATTCATATAGATAAATGGCACATCCCACACAAAGCTATAAAAGAACATAGTTTAACTCCTCATCTGCTCTGCATGCATCAGACTTGGATGTTATTCAGCTCGGTGCAGTTTCTATCAGTAGAGTAATTTTAATTGCTTTGGGTTTCTTTTGCATTAGTCCACAAGACAGTGCGAGCACAGTCTGAGAGAGAAACTGCAGCTCCTTCTTTAGAAATGTGTGCATCAGAAGGAAACAGGAAGACACAAGTAAACCATATGATTACAAAACCTCCTTTTTTATCCCAGAGATCAGTCTTCCCTGAAGGAGGCCGTGAACTGGCATATCCCATAAGGATTTTGAAATTTGTAAATTTCATAATTCTTAAGCTCTCAACCTGTTATCTCAGATTTGAATTTCAGGTCTTTGCCCAGCTTGTGCAAGGCGAAGGACATTTGATTCTGCCCTTTGGCTGTCTATGTCAAAATACCACCATCCTCTTTGTGGCGTGTAAAAGTCTAAGGTCTGGGCCATCCACTTTTTCCATTTCTGAGCAATAACAATAACGATACTGGGAGTGATTGTACTATGGTACAGGTGGTAAAATTTGTGTCCAGAGGATCTTGAACAGCAAAAACTCGACCTTGTAAAGCTGGATGAATTTTTACTGTCTGGAGGATGTGGCTTTGATCACAGGTCATGCCTGTAAATGTTTGTGTCTGTGTCACCTTTGTAAAAGTGGGAAGTTGGTTATGCGGCTGAGGTCTGTTGGCAGACACGTAGAGGATAGCACATTAGGCCAGCATCTTCCACAGATCAGTATCAGAATGCCCCAGTGACTGAACTATAAGGGCTCTGTTCCCTCTGTCACATCAAAGCTCTGTTTTTAGTGTTCTAGGATCACACTGCAAGACCAAAGCAGATGGTTTCACAGTGCCCCTGTCTCTGAGCATGCATGAACACGGTCTTCATTTCTCCCATACTGTGCTTGCAGTGCTGCGTCACCTCGAGCAGCTGTCTACTTGAAAGGGGAGGTTACGGAAATAAAAAAAAACAACTGAGCATTCCACCAGATCAGGCTACATTCACACCTGCTGCTGAAACTGCACTACGGAAGAATTTGCTTTTAAATGAAAACAAAGTTTTTCCAACTATAATATTTGAAAATAAAAACATGTCGCACTGATTATGTTGGAGGGCTAAAAATTCAATGCATTATTTCAGAACAAAGACAATTCATTGATTGGCCACACGAAGTGTAAGGACTACATACAGCACGACTGAAGCGCTTGAAGATATGATGAGTGCTTCTCCAAGCGCACACATCACTACTCCCATGACAGCGGTCATCTCCACTGCAGTGAAAGGCAAAGTCCTCTGTCACACCAGAGTTCTACACTGTCTTGATTCCAGAGAGACATCCTTTCTGTAATTTGCTCAGCGCCCTGTTACAGAGACAATTTGTGTCTGTTTTTCATTAAGTGCTACTGTGGATTTTGGTTTTGGATTCACTCAAAGGCTGCAGGGTGCTTCACGAACGGCTCCTCTTGAGTAAATGCTTTCTGAAAAGGAAACACACCCTCTCCACCTGGCAGGATGCTCTGAGTCCATGTGCATCACCGATCGGAATCTCATCAATAAGGACCCCTGAGGGGGGAGACCATGCTAACTCAAACTATAAAACCTCTAATTATTGCCTTATTTCCCCAGCTACTTCAGCTTATAAAGAGCTACTTCACTGCAATCGCTCAAACACTTGTTTACCGTCACAGAGAGGATGCAAATAAATGTTTTATGGAAAAAGACACAGATTTGGCTCTGAGGAGTCAGAGAGCTATGAATAATGCCACTGGAATAGTGGAAAAGACTATCATCTTCATTACTGTTACTGCAGGCACTCCAGCTGCAGGTGGAGATACTGGGAAAGTGCAGTGCTATCTTGATGTGAGGTTGTAAGTGTTAGAAAGTCAGACTTCCTGATCTAAGTGCTCTAGGAGTAGTGCCAAGTTTCAACTGGCACCTGTAGAGTTCCACTTACTCATTTCACTTCCTAAATTCAGATATGAGCTTTACGACATAATGGAAAATGAAACCTCAAGCTCATAACTAACAATATTAGCAAGATGAGCTATTATAGACTTACGTAAGGCATTTTTGCAACACAGTTGAAGCAATCTAGAGATTTATTTTTCCTCAAATGCAATTCTTAATTAAAATAAGATTTAATGTAACATATGCTGAAACACATGCATGGAAATACTCAGATCAGATTAATATTTAATATATTTATGGGAAGCATGGCAAGCTTGTACAGCAGAAGCATATCTGAGGAAAAAAAAAATAAACATTGAATTTCTTACAAAGCTTACACTTTAAGCTACAGCTTAGAGACTCACCGGCTTTCATCATATCTGAGGCACCTCCGGACTTGTCCAGTCGAGGGCTGTTGTGAACTATGACCTCTAAAGGTGGCCACAGACAGGGAAACAGAAACAGCAATACACAGAGAGAAAGAGTGACCCAGTGTGTGGGGGGAAAAAAGGAGGGAGGTGACAGACCGTAAAATTGGAATTTCCCTTTGCAGAGAACAGGAAAGATACAATTCAAGGCCACTCGTGCTTACCAGCCCTTTTAATTCTACAGGTTTAAATAAAATGCTTTCTCAGCCATCATTTTTACACATTAGCACAGGGTGGCATCTTTTGCCAAACGCAGTGACTCTACTATGTCAGCAAAGAGTACAACCAAAAATTGCCTTAAGGGTGAAAACCGGGGGACAGCGGCCTGAATCCACGTGAGGCACACCATCATACCGACTCTGACAAAGTACGGGCTCGTCTTGGAGGGTGCAGTCCATGACTAGCCCTAAAATGATTTGGACAGCTGCTTAAACCTTTATTTTTTGTAACCTTGATACCAATGCTCACAGTTAAAAGTTCCCAGAATAAACAGGGAAAGCGTAGGAAGCTGGGGATTCTGAGTATTAAATGCGCTCCCTCCAGGTGTCAGTTGATCTGCATGATCCAGACATCAAAAGCTGGAGCTCAGGTCACTTTGCTATCTGACCGTGACAGAGTTGGCCTGCTTGAGAACCGCTATAGGCAAGGGTTGGGATTAACTGGCCTAGGCTCTCCAAGTTCTTGGTTAAACACTGGTTTCGTGACCTTATGAGCACTTGCAGGCTCTCAGTGACATCACTGAGAGATCCAGAACTCCAATCAGCACTAACTCACCTATAAGGCACGGTGGAGCTTGAAGCATGTCAAATGATGATTGGCTCGGTGGGGGGTTAACCCACACTCATGCTCTCTATACAGTACAGGAGTTGTGGGAGTTTTGCCAAGATGGAAAGAAACAAGTGGCCACTCAAAATTAGGTGGACAAAAAGTAAAAAAATGCGAAAACATTGCTCAAGAAAAGAAGCTGCAGAAAGTTTATTCATGATCTGTTCTATGTGTGAAACTGATGTAACGTTTTTGTTTGCTTCTTCAATTTACAAGATGATAAAGTTCTTAAAATAAAAATGAGGTGCACTCAATAGCACCTTGGAAGCACCAAGATTTCATCTTAAGGAAGAGTGATGTTTACCGCCTGCAGCAGAGCCTTCGTCTCTCAACTTCTCTTCAGTCTCCATTATCACATTATAAACTCCCATTCTCGTGTGCCCAGACGCCTGTCAGAAGTGAAACTCTAACGACAACAAATCTCAGAACAAATGCGTAAAATTGAATAAACTGGTGGTGCTTGAACGCAGGCGAGAGAAACGAAAATGTGGCGATTCGACGGAAAATACTGTAACTTACCTTTCACAGAGCCTGAGGGAGCCTGCAACAGAAATAGAAAATGAGGTTGTTATTCCTTACCAATTTGGTTCTATTACTGATGGCAGTAATTTTATGATTTCTTTTGTAGTTTATTTTATGTGTGGCAGGATTATACACTTTGCTTTATATTATTGGATTTGGCAGCAGTCTACATGTTAATGTAAAACACTGTGTGGGCTTTTAACTTGGATATAATACAGAATAATTCCTATTAGCAATCAACTAAAAAGATGAGAATACCTTGGTGACTGAGCTCTAGAAGTCTGGACAAATGCCCTTATAGAGAGCGAATCCTTCCTCCAGTACTTTATCATAAAAGTTTTGTTATGCATGCTATCCCATGATATCAAAACGAGTGGACATGCCCATTTTTATCACAATGCTTCTGTGGCAGGAATCATCTGCATCAGGCCCTGGATGAAGCACAAAGTCCAGCTTACAGACACTGCTTTACATGCACGTTAATGTCACTAGGAAGCTCTGTAATCAATTTTGTATTATCTACCTTGAGAATGTACACAATACTAACCATAGCCACACGCTTTGTTCATAATATAACAAATCCTAAAAAAGAATGTTGCAGCACACATTCTTTGTCTTAATAGAGAAAAATCAAAATTATCTTAGCCTGACAAAAAACAGCTTACAGTTCAGCTCAGACACACTCAGATAAAGATGGAAAGCAAATTAGAATGTGTGGTAACAGTTCCTTAATCCAATTAGTATCAATGACCACAGAGGAAAAACCTGTGATGACAGAAAAATCACTGTTTTCAACAAATTAATAGACTGGAGGAATCAAATTCAAATTGATTCACTCTGCAGTAAAGGGATCGGCTGCATGGAGACTATAGCATTTTTGTTTCTTTTCACGGACAGTAAGGAGTTGAAAAGAAGTGGCATTCAAGGTGAAAAGAAGTTTCAAAAACCTCTTTTTACCAAGGCGCAGTCATACATTCAGCAAATCAGAAAAAGCGACCCAAGTGAAAAGCAAAATATTCTGCTTTAACTTTGCACTAAAGTGGCTCCATTCTTCCACAGGTTGTCTGTGATCAAAGGCTGGAGATTTCACTCGCTGTGATTAGTTAAGCCATCAGGGAGCTCACTGGGTAGAGGGATACAAGCACCATTATAGTATCAGAACCCATCACTAATTTATTCAGATATCCACATGGTTGTAACACTTACTCTATCAATGGCTGATGGAGACCATCCTACAGCAACAATAACTGTTAGCGAAGAGTATTAACTATTAACAAGGTCAGGGTTCAGAAATCCTTATTCTGGAGACTCACAGTCCTGCAGATCGTGTTGGTCAATAAGCAGACTGAAAAGCATGTGAAGGTCTCCTAATCAATTAGCTAATTATGTCATTTAGACCTCAACTAGAATGAAAACCAGAAGCCAGTCAAGGACCTACTGTAGGTTACAGATCATTCCTGTTCCCGTAGCAATATTACATGGAGGTTTTATTTGTGGAAACATGCTACCTCAAATCTAACTTTCCCAAAACATTTCTGCGCCTTTAGAATAAAGGTCACCAGCGTCTGCATCAGACCCTGCATTCTCTGTGAGCAGAGACTGCCGGTGTGCCTTGACCAAGCTGATGCAAGGCTGTTGAGAGAGTATAGGAGCCTATATGAGTCGTGCCCTTTTCTATCACTGTCACCGCTTGGTGACTCTATGTCTGCTGGCCTTGGTGCCGCTCCTTACTTTGTCAAGGCTGTCTCCTGCATTTGCCGCCTCCTCCTTGGCCACTTCTGATAAGTTCTCTTTGGTTGAGGTTGCCGACACCCCTGTCTCGAGCTCCTCCAGTTCCTGCTCCAGCCTGGGAGGGAGAGGGAGACAAGACGAAAGACAGGCATTGGAAAACCCCCTGGGCTCATGCTTCTCAACAGGTCTTGGCATCTTGCTCTGCCTCCAACTCTTATTTCTGAACACGAGCAGGACTACTTTATTTTCCACCTCCTTGACCCCGTGTATAAATGTATATCTCATCACAGGACACTTAATGTAACACTTCCAGAAATACTATAACCAAGTGAGGTAAACTCAAGGAGTTTACCCAGAGGGCTGAGGGAATATGGAAGAAGCTACACAGCCATGTCGTTGAAGCCGAAACCCTGACTTTTCAAGAAATGGCTGACTAAAAAAAGCCAAATAGGCCTCCTCTTATTCATAACCTTAAGAACATTATGCTATTAAATATAGAGACATTTGTTTATTCAAATTTGTGAGAAACTCTTCAATACAATAGGGCTTCAATACAATTTTTTATGGTTAAAATGAACATCAGTTTTTCTACAATGCTACTAACAAAAAACAGAAATGAAAAGAAAACACACTGATCTTATACACGACTTATACTTGTCACAAGGTTTCACCACATGCAAGCTGATCTTATGTACTGTGCAGAGTGTTCATATTTCCACTTTGTGGGTTATTCTGTTAAGAAACACACATACAGTAGGCTCAGCCATCAACCTTGGTTCAAACTAGCTATAGAACATTTGATCACGTGATTTATGTATTTCTTCTTCTTAAAGAATTAGTTATTTCTGGATGTGAGATACGCGTTAGAATAATTGTAAACACAAGCACAAAGGGAAGACTGCATGGACAGTCATCCACTGAAGACAATAACTAATAATAACAAATAATAAGGGACCTTTCTGCACAGTGATCATCGTGGATGCTCCTGCTATTGTTCAACATGCTGATTCTATGCCAGTGACAGTCAGAGAGCTAGCCATTGCCTGCTGGTGCCAGGGATGAAAATAATCGGCAGACTGGACTGCTGTGCCCTTATAGTGCCTGGAAAATGTTTGATGCTGCTTTTTCTTTTCTATCAGCAAAATCAGCATCAAAAAGGTAGTTTTTAAAATTTTAAAAAGTTTCTCCCCTTGGGTCACTTTCAGTGCTATCTGATAATCCCAGCAGAAACGTCTGAAAACTCCTGCATGCCCTTGCTGCTGACTGTTTCTACTTATTTACTGTGGCTGCACGAGCTTCACAGAACCCTTTATTAACAGTGATGTAAGAATACTGCATCATGCCTCAGTGGTTTGCGCTACAGCCTCCAGTGTCGTCTTGTTTTTTAATTGTCACTTGTAGAACATCTGACATACACCTCTGTCATCCCATGTAGCACCCAAACAAACCGACAGTACACTGTACAGATCCCTTATCCACTCCCCCCCCCCCACCATCTCTAATTAGTTTAATCCAAAGACCCCCTCCTTCACCTCAGAATGGTCTCCTCCAGTCCCTTGGTCTTGGCCTCATCCTCTTGCAGTTGCTTCTTGGCTTCATCTTCCTCCGAGCCAGCAGAGGGCGCACCGTCCAACAGCCACCTCTCCCGCAGAGCCTTTGACTATGTGTGTGGTGGTAAAAGGGAGAGAAGTGAAAACACTGAGACTTGTCTAATGTGCCCTGTAAACAAGAAAGGCATACAGCTATGGTTTCTTGAATGTCTTTAAATCCTTTACTTAAAAACCATGCATGAGCACTGAAGTTAGAATTTAATGTTGAGAATCAAGATCTTAGATGGAATTAACAATGGTCATGCTCAATTGAAGCCCAAGGCAAGAGTGACTTCTTGTATAAGATTGTCCTATATTCTGCTCCATCTGTTCAAAATGTAGCCTGTTATACGCCTAAGCAAAAAAAAGGCCAGTTTTGTTCTACTCAATGCAAATATGTTTGAGTTGCTAGAAATCGGGCTATAAAAAATTAACATGTGGGCACGTAAAGAGTGCTCCACTGAAAATGAACTGATTATTCCATTTCTTTCAAACCCTTCTGTTGCTTTGTGCTGTATTATCTCCTATCTGTGTCACGGTTTTCCTTGTTTTAACCGTTTCTGTTCACGTTTTCCTGTAAAGTGCTTTAAGAAGATGCTTTTAAAGGCACTAGAAAATACGCTTTTTTGTTATTATTACTACCTCCGAAAGAAGAAAGCAAAAGAAAAATGTGGGGCACCCAAGCTTAGACAAAGCAAATGATTCCGAGCTCAGCTCCCCCTCGGGATAGTAGCTGGCAGACATGACAGGGGAAGAGGGGGCTGTGTGACAACAGGCAGGGCTCGTTGATCCTGGGAGCCAAACTGCCATGCTTTCTCTGAGGAAGTGGGAAGCATCCCAGCAAAGCTTTTGAGAAACCTGATGTGGTGCAGAGCGCAAACGGGCTTAAATAATTCAGTTAATTGGTACCAAATACAAGTGTGGTATTCAGCCTGGTGGTTTTGTTTAACAGGGTTCAGCCTGGGTTATGATTTATTGTACTTGTCATTCAACCCAACTCCCCTACCCCTCCTTCCAAACACACGCAAACCTTCGAACAGCCGGTGTTACAGCACTTAGGAGGGGCGGCCATTCATACAGCCAGCCTCACAAGAGCAGTCAATTGCTTTCCAGTCGGCTAAGCTGTGCAGAGGCTGCTAATGTACGCTTGGACCCACAGGGCACAACCATTAAGTGGAACAGTGGGAGGGATGCCAGCTATACGAGGGCAGTCTGCCAGTATCCCTCCTTCTCAGAGCTGCACAGACAGCATTGGGCAAGTCCAAGGCCTCCAGAAGATGGGCACTCTTTCACATTGTCATCTGAACCCACGGACAGCTGGAGAAACTACAGCCCTGTGAAACAGACGGAGTCCTTGCACACACAGTGCTGTAGCAGAGGCCTCGGAAGAGCTGCCTGTAATGTTATTGCCTCCTCTAACCAAATTCAGATGAACAGTGTCAGCCTTGGTAATTTTAATGACAGCCCATTGCTTTTTGGTTGCAGACGTTTCAGGAATTATTTGCAAGGTTTTGTACATTTCCCAGATACAGAAGAACACCAATGAAAACAAATATCCGTCAATCTGGGCATGGTCACACGAGGCCCACAAAAATGATTTCCTAGTTTTATATCGACTTCAGAATCGTCTAGTTATGTGTCCAGCACTCCTGCATCCCCTTGCAGTATCTCTTAGTCTGATGTACACAGTTACTGCAAGAATCCAGCAAAAGTCATGAGCCTTTTTTTGACCATTTCTGAACTTTAATTTTGGTTAAACCCTTTGAGCACAGTATGGCATCAAAAAGCAAGGTGCCCGAAAGTGAATATTTTTAAACCACTGAACTGCACTCTGCACAGTGGCAGGGATCTATGCAAGTCTAAAGCTTTTAAAACCCAGCTGGTCTAGAGGGCACTTCGGATGGTGCTGGTTTATGGTTTTAAAGAGTTCTGAATGTATAAATTCAATGCGAAGGAGCCTCTTGGTACACGGAGCACCGCAATTTCAAGATACTTTCACTGAACAAAAAAAGATCAATGCCATGACACCAAGCAACATCAGGCGGTCTGACTAGTCAGACCAAGGTGTCCTTCAGCTGTTTTCCAGTATCAGATAAACTGGACTGTGTGCAGTGCATGTCACTGATACTTCTCAAAAAGGAAATCTATGCATTTCTTATTATCTAACAAAACTCATTCTATAGCTACTGTTTGCTTGCAGATGACACACCCACTAAAGCAGTGGGGTACAGCTCCAGTCCTGGAAGGCCACAGTTTCTGGGTTTTTGTTTTACCTCTGGTCTGAATGACATTATTGAGCTCATCGTGAACTTGACTGGACAAGTTTCACACTTTGCAAAGGTCTTTTAAACTGGTGATTTAAAAGAGACCTAGAAAAACCTCTGGATTTTGACACTGGAGGGCCAGAAAAACAAAAAACTGCGCCCCAACCAAAACATCTTACTGTATAGAAGTATTGTAAATGCTGATAAAAACTGAAACATAAAAAAACACCATCTCTGCAACTAATCACATATCACCTGCTGTAAGATTTGTTTATGATGGAGCAATGGTTTGTTGTAAAATGCGATTATCTATAATCTGTCTACCAATTACATCTGGCCTCAATATGAATTTCTGTCTGCAGTTTGAGGAATCCAGCTACTAAGGTTAAAACAGTTTTTCATTCATCTTTCTGATTACCCATTTAGCTTTTTTTTGCCCAAAAGGTTTTGCTGTTTAATCAACCTTTCATGCCGGTTACTCCCTCTAGTCCACCTACCTCATGATCACCCCATCTTATTCATCCACTCCCTGTCTCTCCCCACTCTCTGAGGAGACGCCTGTCAGCGAACACCCATCTCATCAGGTCTGTGGCTTATAATGAGGCAGGAATCTGCAGAGATTCGGGGTAATGAACTACCTGCCTCATTAGCCTAAAATGAAGGAGTCGACATAATCCCCCTACTTAAATAGCCAGAAATATGTAGAAAACGCCATCAGAGACTACCTAGTCATTAAGTAAATGTTAAACGTCAATTTTAGGTCATCCCTACCCATTTAGGTACAGAATGAACGTTCCCTGCACAACAATCCAATTGAATCTCCTTTTATTCTGCAGTCTGGCTTTTTAATATGCCAATATACAGTCACCACTCTGTCACCAATATTCAGAAAAGCGGATAGATTGCAGAGGCGACTCTGCCGGAAGGAGTACCTGCTGAGCCCAAGAGCCCTGACTAACTCACCATAGGACAGCAGGGTACATTCTGAGTAAACGCAACATCCTTTACGGAGCTTGGCATTAGCCAGCACAGTGAAAAAAAGGCCACAGTCAAACCAGGTGCTAGCAAAGGTTTCTGTCAAGACAGCAGACTTAAGTAATGCAAGGTTCTGTATGCATTTACACACAAACAGTATGCAGCTGGACTCTTTGATCCTGATGAAGGAGAGCAGTCAGAAAGCTGAAGAGTCACAGAAGCTCAAGCAATGTCTTGCTCTCGCTTTTGTTTGGATCCTTGCTTTGCTTTGTCTGTTTCTTCGCCAGACAGAGTGAAACCCTTCCTCGCCCCCATCCCCCTGCCTCTCTGTCGCCAGCTCTTCTCCCCTGAGAGGTCTGCAAGGAGTCGTTTTGGCAACCAGACAGGGCAGCTGACATCACGCCACACTCACACCCTTCCACACGCACAGAATCGGGGCAAAAATAGAGCAGAAAGCTTCAAAACAGTTGGAGACGCTACATGCAACCTGCTCGGATCAATTGTCCTTCTGACCAAAGCGAGTGGGAAGGCTTCCAAAATGCTACCTCGCAGAAAAACAGAAGAGCTAAGAAAGCAGGTTCACAATTTCTGCTGTGCGTGGAGAAGAAATACCTTCTAAGTAATGAACTACAGTGTAAACATTCTCACAAGCAGCAAGAGATTAACATCTCTTCTTATCGCTACTGCCAGCTTCAGTGGGTTATTTCTCTTCACCCCACAAGGAAAGCATGTATTATTCATCAGGATTTTATAGGTAATTCTGTTGCCAGTCCATCATGCAGCCTCACTGCTGTCTTCTAGCACTTTTCAAAGTGTTTTTGCTCCACAATGACATTTGCCCTCAATTTCCCAGAATGTAATTGTTTAAAGGTGCACATCTAGGGGAAAAGCAACAAAGAGACGAAGAAGAAAATGTCCTTTGGGAGCTTTAAGATAGATTTTCAGTGGTACTAGAAAAGGGGAACTGTGGAGTATTGGTTAAAGTTCAGGACCCAATGCCAAAACATAAATGTGCAAGTTTGCAAACTGCCCTATAGTTACATGCTTGGGAAAGGTACTCTACCCCGATTACGCTGGGATCCCGAGCTATATAAATAGAACTGGGATGGACTAACAGGGTTTCATCCAGAGCCAGACCTTCACTGTGTTCTTAACATCACAGAAACTGGGGTGAGCTTTAGTCCTGTAAACATCCTGGACTTGCAATGTTCGAGTACTTACATTCAACAATAGCTAAGCCAATAACCCAGTCGCTTGTTTCGACGGTAAGAGGTCTTCAGGAGCAGTGTTTTCATATATCTTTGAAATCGCTCGGAGAGTCTCACTTTTTGAAAAAGTCCTGAAGAAAACCTGTTTATGGCATTTCACTCCAGTTTCTGATTCAATTACTTCTTAGTGATATAACTATGTCCAAAACACCTCAATTTTATCAGTTTTACAAAATTAAGAAACAGGAAAACCAGGAAACTAACTTTAACTGGCAGCTGAAGCACATGCAACAAAAAAATTAATGACTATAAACTCATTTCATGCAACAGGACAAGAATCATTAGGTTGTCCAGTCAAATTAAACATAGAAGTTAGGCTATTTCCTTTTTTTAGATATGATGATCACTTTAGAGTGAAAGGCTTACTGACAGTGCTCATTTTAACATCTTGAATTTTTAACTTCAGCTGTTTAAATGTCATTTTTTTTATTTGATAGATTCTCATAGAATTTATCAATTTGACAGACACCCTGTTAAGTTAGCAAATTACTGCAAGCCATTGATTGTTTCAGTTCTGGATTGATTTATTGTACTAACAACATTTTGGGGAGAAAAAGGATACACTTTTTCTCTGTTAAAGGCCTAAGTAAGACCATTCTCAGCTGTCAACGTCTGTTTAGTCATTTGGGTTAATCACCATAACCCCCCGGCCATCGGCCCCGGGAAGAGTTTTGCTATATTGGTTGGTGCCCTATTGCAGAAAGACATGACTTCTCTTAATGAGCCACCAAGCACTTGCCCAGCTGGTACCAGTGTGACGTGGCGAGGCAAACTAATTCACTTCATCGATGGCACACCGTGTCTGTCTCGGCCGCAGCTGGTCTCAGGACCGCTCCTTTAATTTAAAACAAGCAAATTAGTGAGCGAAGCCTCTATAAAGCGGCTGAAATACTGTATGTCTGCCAGCTTAGTGACAGCTCGGAGAGGATGCCCGCTCTTGTTTGAGGCTGCAGCCTGTTGTAAAGGAGATAAACACGCTAATGCTGAAAGGAATCAGAGTAAAAGAACTACCTGTTGAAAAGCTGTGTGGCTGCTAATGACAGGATATTAGAACTCACTGGGGCTTCGGTCAGATGATGTCCAATATCCACTGATTGTTCTGAGAGTGCTTCCTGTTTCACTCTGCTTAGCTTGCATTTGCGAAGTGTTGTCTATGTGCAGAAATTCATGGAACTTGCCAACGGGGAGTTTTGTCTCAATCCTCTTTTTTAGACCTGTATTTAAAAACTTCTCTCAGGGTAACTTACAGTAGTCTGTTGTTAGTGTCGTTACCCGTTTAGATTAACTTCTGCCCCATCACCATTCTGCTGTTTCCTTATATTGTAAGGGAGCACTTTGCTATATATTCATAAAAGGTATTTTTCAACTCAGTGGCGACAGTTGGAAAAAATCTCTCACTTGAGAAGCCTCACAAAGATATTTACTTTTTTAAAGCAAAAATACCCCAAAACAAGTTATAAATCGGTTTTTAAGGCTCGTGGCTGCAGACAGGACTACTTATCTAAAAAGCAATACTAGGAAGCCCCTAAACCACAAAGACAAACTGTTGCATCGCATCTCGCAAGTTTGGGGCAGTATCCATTTAGGTTTATATAATGCAGTCCAAAAGTCCAAAGTCCAGTGTTTGAAAATGACTGTTATCCAGGAGCGAATTCACACCATTTCTCCTGAAAGGAAATTGAAGAGCTTTTGCCTCCTAGGAAAAAGGAAATTCCCCCATCCCTACCTTTGAGTGTTTACCCATTACCATTTTAACAGGCATTAATTAACCATTTAAACAGGCATAGGTTCCTTTCCACCTGTTGAACTGCCTACTGGTTCTCAGATTGTATGTGATGGAACAAAGGCAGAGCCAACAAAGATATGTACTCACTTCTGAACTGTCTGTCTGTGAAGCATAAAAGGGAGCACCTTAAAATCTAATCAGTGTATTTACAGCTCACAACACTTTAAAGACATATCTTAGCAAGCAGCTATGAGCCGACATTAATAAAACAACTGAAAACCCAACTGGTCTACACATAGGTAAGCAATTCTTCATGTGACAGGCCCAACTCCAGCATTACACAATGTCATGTTGTTATGCCAATAGTGTGCAGCAGGTACATACTGTACAAAGCCTAGGCAGAGACAGCATTCTCTTCCTTTGTAAGACCCCTCTGTGGGCAACTCCTCCCCCCTTTCTGTGTCAGGGGCGGAGCCTGAGGTCATCGCCCTGCCCAGCCAATCAGAACCCTTCTCTGCAGCTCCCCCAGTGCCAGCCATGGCCAGGATACACAGCTGTGTCCGCTACTATCACCCCATTACAAGGCCAGGCTGCTGGTGAAACTTTAATGACTCCTTGTCCCGCCAGGACCTTCTACAGCAGAGCCACCGCGGCAAATTATCCAGTTTACTGGTTGCTGGAATGACCTCCAAGCTACAGCTTGCAACAATTACAGGGCGGACACAAAAGATCGGGATAAAATCTCATTTTTGAACACAAACCTGGAGGATGTAAGGCACTGCACACCCATAACTTTTAATGTGAGCTCCCTAGAGTCTGTTTCTATAAAGGAAATGTAGTTTTTCCCTCCTGGGATGCGAGAACACAATCCCAACAGTACATGGCACATGTATTGGACTATGCGGAGGAGCTAGCCAAGACGGATCTCTCCTGGCGAGATGCACAACAAGCCACCAAGGATAGGAGACATCGGAAAAAGCTCAGTGTAGACTTACATCGCACTTGGGATGAAGAGGACTAAGTGAGTAATACCCAGCCAACTGCTGTGTGTGAAAATGATCAGTGACAACCCACTACAGCACACAAAATACACTGCATACCACAGGTACCAGGCACATCTAAAATAGATAAACCTTAGCCAAACAGACACACGAGGCACAGTGGACACAGAATTTAAGCTTAGCTAGGTTAAGGCTACCATTACCCAGCAGCCATTATAGAGTTTAGAAGATCCAATATGTTGTACAGTACAAACTGAACTGACAAGGGTGAAAAGTGATTTCTGTTTCTTTAACATGAACTCCAGATGCCTGTCAATGTCAGATCTACTCCAAATGATGTTTTAAACCTGAAACATCCAGCACACACTTGTCGCCTTCGTGAAAAAGAGTTTAAAGCTCTCCTGCTGCAGGAATGGATCAATCTACGAGGGATCGTTCCATCCCTGATGAAAGAAGGAAGAGAAATGCTGTAGAATCATGGAAGCAATGATGGATCCTTCCCCCATTTCATCAGAGACAAGGTGGAGAACTGCCCCCCTCCCCCGCCCCGGCGGAGCCTCGTACCTTGAGGTGCTGGAGCTGTCTGCGGTCATCCTCAAGCTGCCTCCGCTTGTTCTCGATCTCCGCCTGTCTCTTCCGTTTCTCCTGGAGGGCAGCAGAGCCACACAGAGCATGAAGGAGACGTGCCTGGTCTTACTGCCAGCCCACTGGAGCTCAGCGGGTGTGAGCCTGGCCAGTAATAATAATAATAATTGCTTACACTTATATAGCGCTTTTCTGGACACTCCACTCAAAGCTCTTTACAGGTAATGGGGACTCCCCTCCACCACCACCAATGTGCAGCATCCACCTGGATGATGCGACGGCAGCCATAGTGCGCCAGAACGCTCCCCACACAAGCTCTCAGTGGGGAGGAGAGCAGAGTGATGTAGCCAATTCATAGAGGGGGATTATTAGGAGGCCATGATTGGTAAGGGCCAATTGGAAATTTGGCCAGGACACCGGGGTACACCCCTACTCTTTTCGAGAAACGCCCTGGGATTTTTAATGACCACAGAGAGTCAGGACCTCGGTTTTACGTCTCATCCGAAGGACGGCGCCTGTTTACAGTATAGTGTCCCCGTCACTATACTGGGGCATTAGGACCCACATGGACCACAGGGTGAGCGCCCCCTGCTGGCCCCACTAACACCTCTTCCAGCAGTACCTGGAATGGAGACCTCCTGGGAAAGCTAAGGTTGCTGCTGGAAGAGGTGTTAGTGGGGCCAGCAGGGGGCGCTCACCCTGTGGTCTGTGTGGGTCCTAATGGCCCATTGCAGTGATGGGGACACTACACTGTTAAAAAAAAAAAGCTTCTGTCCTGCCTCCTAAAAATCCCCATTTATCAATTGGTTTCATGACTCAGTTTTCTATTATGATTATCACAAGCATGATGAGGTTTGCAAAAAACTATAACTCAAGCTGTGCCAGCAGTGAAAAAAAGAAGTAGGGTTAGCTGAGGCTATAGACAGACAACAGGACATCAACATTCATTGTGAGATGGTTTGTGGCTTTTGATCTCAGTCATTTAAATATTTGTTTTGTATAATTTTATACTGCAGGAAATCCAATTTAGTTAGCAATTTCCAAATCCAGCTGAAACACACAACACTGCAGGCAGCTGCAAACAGAAAGAGGAAACATACAGCATTGTGAACTGCCAGGCCTTGTTAATAAACATTGCATGTACAGTATGAGGAAATTTTTTCCTGACACAGCATCCACAGAGTCTGCATGCTTAAACAGGAGAAAGCAAGCTGAGGAGCATTCAAAACTGCAGGAGTCTGGAACCAGACACCTTTGAGAAATGGCGTGATGTAATTCGTGGATCATTACACTATTTGTAAGAAAATAGTCAAGAAAGCGGCAAATTCACCCCCCATTTGTAACCTTTTATATGTTCTCAAGGCACCTTGCATCTGCTATTAGCATTTTCAATATAAAAAATACTAGAGGATAGAATTAAAGGGGATCTGCAGTCTCCTTTAATGCAGAGAAAAGTAGTAGTATCTGTTGGCAAAACCATCTCCAAGTGTAATAGGGCAGCTTCACGTCACTGGAAGTCTCGTTCTGAATCACGTCTATTTTGTGATATAAATTGGAGGCTTTACACATCACTGTGTATGTTTTAGCGGTAAGTCAGGACACTACAGATAGTTCCTCGTGGGCCTGACTACCATGCCTGCTCTTTAGTGTCTTGTCTGGGCAGTCTGAGCCGAGACTGAATTCAATTAAAACAGCTAAAAGTCTTGGTGGACATTATCCCTGATTGATCCTGCATTTTAAGTGTTTATCTAAATTGCCCGTAGGTTAACCATAGAGTACAGTCTTTTATCTCAGTGCTCATCTGGGGAGTCTTGTAACAGAACAAGATTGGTGAAAGGAGTCAGGGTCTTGAAGGATGTTACAGAAATAGACTGATAGACTTTGAGAGGCTAGGCAGGATCTTGGTCAAAAGATCAGACTGCTTCCATTAATTCTATCCAATGGACCCACTAGCAAGGCAAAACCACAAATCCTTAATCACATGCCCTAGGGGGCATGCATGTATGTTACGCTTTGTTTGTGTTTCCTGCAGTAGAAAAGGGTTTTGAGAATCCAAGAACAAATTGGACATAAAATAACTCCCACTGCTTTGCAGTTCGATCCATTTCAGGTTTTTCAATTGACCCAGAGTGGGACAAACACCTACTGTACTAGTGCTGTAACAGAGCAATGCAGGGAATATCTCTATACACTGAAGAAGTGCATTCAGAATAACACAGAACAATCTACAATCTGGTATCATCTTATTTGGGAGTTTGGAGCTTCTAAAATCAGAAATGGATGTTATTTTCAGACTAAAAAAGTATTTCAGGAAGTGAGCCCTTAGCTGTAGGCAGCACTCTTCACAGAAAGGGATCACAGTGATGTATAATTAATGTATGGAGTGGTCAGATAAGAGCTTGATTGACTGGAAGTACCTAAGTCTTTCAGTATTTCATCAACCACGATAAGAAATGTAGAAATCTGCCTGTGTCCCACCTGTCTTTTCTCACTCCTTTGATGTCAGTGAAATTAGCTAACTGATCTGCTGAGTGAAAGTGCCTTTGTTCAGAACCCCCCACCCCCCTGTCAGCAGTGAGAGGGCTCTCCTTGTTCAGTTATGAGAGTACTTTGAGACATCTGCACTTTCCCATTTCATTAGATTTCTGTCTAGTTGCCCCGTCTCCCTCCTGTGTCTTGTTCTGCAGTTCCCCCTTTTAATCAATCGATTTTGCACCAACTGGATGTGAAGAAAAATACCCAAATCTGACCGTGGGCTCACATTGTTTCTTTCTTCATACTGTTTGTCCATGGTGGATAGAAAATTTCATAGGTGGTGTTGTGGCGAAGAAAATTGCAGCTCTCCAGTTTTTGAATGTTTTTTTTTCTTTCAGGTAATTGCTGTCAGTTTAAGCTAAATTTAAAATGATCATTGCAGGAAACATGAATATCGGCACACCCCTAGTTTCCACATGCCAGTAGCCTGTAGCAGAGACTGAGCAGCAATGTGGCTGTAGAAAGAGGGAAAAGGAGCATTGATTAAAGAAAGAGGGTGACGAGTGAGTGACATGGACATAGAAAGAAAAAGATAAACATGATAAAGCATGATAAACCAAGGAGTAAGGCGAGGTGTGTGTAGCACGACTGTGTGCAATTTATATACTTGAGTGCTGAGGTCTGCATGCTTGCTTTGGCAGCATTGCACTGGTCTGGAAAGCTGTGCCAGTGCAGCATTAATGAAATGAATGAAATAGCCAGAGAGAGAGAGAG